ATTTGGGGGTTCTTTGGGGTATATCCTGGTTGTTGAAATCCTTAGCCAAGGGGAGTTATACACTTCCATTTAAAAGTGATTTTTAATGCAGAGTTTTTTCATATTTTTTCTTCTGATTTTTAACCATAAGATGGTATAATTGACCTTGTCTTAAAACCAGTTGGCAGTAACGTAATACCCCCTTTCATTGCTAGGTATCTTTTAGCCACAAAACTTTAGTTTTCTCACCATTCTCTGGCCATGGAATAGGTGCCTGGCCAGGAATGGCTCACTCGGACGGTTTGGGATTATGCGACACCAAAAGATGTTGACACATCACGCAGTCGCCCTGGTATTTGAATGTTTTCAATTAACTTTATGTAGATAAATAGCAAACAGCCAGCCAGCTAGCTAGTCAGCTAGCCACGTTGATTGTCTCCGCCGGCCAGGCTGGGCTGGTTGGACTGACTTATCTTTAAAAGGCGGCCAAAAGGGCGCAGTTGAAATGAAACATTGCATAGCTGTAAATTACGCCGAGAGGGATGGATAAAAGGGGAGTTGGCGGAAATTGCATTATCAGCGTCAAAAGGCAAAAGGCACAGACAGCATGGCGTACCAACCACCCAACACCACCCATCACCCATCGTAGTTGCAACCACCCAGCCCCGTCCTGCGTCTCGTTTGGTGGCATGTTTTGCCGCCGGCTTTTGCCGCTGCCACTTCCTGCCCGGCGAGACAACAACAAGGACGGGGACAATGAGTTGTGATAGCACAACTTTTGCAACGGCGACGAGCGTTGCGCATAATTACCGTTGGAGCGGGACACCACGGCCTTGCAAGACTGATGAGCAGTTTATGACTTGGCGTTATTGCCAACTAGCAGTTAATAAAGTGTCAGGGACAACGGCTAAAAACCTGCACATCATAATCGTATATAAACTACATATATTTACCTTATATCCTTAATATGATATCCTTACAAAAGAGAACGAACTAACCTTTAAGTGCATATTGAAGTTAAAAAGTATATTGCAATCGCTGGCCATTGTTCATTTCGTTTATATAAATTTTTAATGAATTGTAAAGCCAGGACATCTAGGTTCATCAAGGGTGGGCGGGGAGCAGAAGAACACATGTGCCTCGGCAGGAGCTCTATCAGACAAACATTATCGCTGTCTCCACATCAAGTTCAATAAAGTTGAGTGCCTGGCACAAATGGAAATTTTACGCATACCCATCGACTCGGAAGGGAAGTGCGAGAAAGTGCCCTTTAAAATCACTTTATTACGGCAGTTGGGTGTGTGTGCACCCCCATCCATTTGTTGGGGGCGACAATTTATAAGAAAATTCCTATCGAAGTCCGGGCCTCGTTCCGGCAAATGTCTTTCGACCGATAAAAACGTGGCCGGTCGGGCACACGCGCTTTAATCATGAAAAATCATATTGAAAGCACCGCTCGGCACATGCTGATAGTACATATTCGCAGGCATGCCAGCCATTAAATGAATATTTCAACAAATTTGCTTTTACAAGCCTCGCCAGGGCTCGTCGCCGGGATATTTAAGATATTTAAGGCCAAAGACGCACACAAAACAGCTGCACAATTTCCGTTGAAAACTTTGCATTGGAAAGTTTTTGTGTGCGACTTTTGTCAAGAACAATAGAAAAGAAAGTCTATTTTTGGAAATTAATGTATTTTAAATACACTTACTTTTGAAAAGATTAAAATACAGTATTTCCTGGACAGTCCCCCTTTACTAAAGTAAAAAATCTTTTACATCATAATGTACAATTGATTTAATTTTCGTTACCTTATACTAATGCCTATACTTATAACTATATTTTCTTATAAGTAATAATTTATTTAATATTTTGTTCTAGTATTACCATAAATATCCTTAAAACGTTATACTCTTCTCGAGGACAAGTTGCAAGTTTTCGCCACATGCATTTCCATTTCGCTGCCTTCGTTGGCGACATTTACATGGCAAGTCATTGGCCAAAGTATCCTCCTCCTCCGGCTGGCCCTCATCCAATTTGTAGAAAGCAAATGCCGCCTGCACAGTGTCTTACATCTCTTTGACTCTAATAGATTTTAATCAGCCGCAGGACATGCGCCTGGACGACAAGGACAACGACGAAACGACACGCTGTTATGGTCCCAAACCACTTACTTGCCACTCAACATCCCTACCTCGACCCACTGGAGCATCCGGCGAGTATTGCCGGGGGCAGATCAAGCCTCGCCTTTAATTATGCCATTTGTGAAAATAAAAAGATGAAAAAATCTTTTCTAATACTTGAAATTCATTTTTAGACATTAATGCGAACGAAGAGTAGCGGTTATTATACAATCATATTTTAGAGGAAAAATTTAATGAGGCCAAGAGACAAAATGTGTGTCTCTGAGTGCGTTTTTCCACACAATTTGTCAGAAACACCTCCGGGGCAGCGAACACACCTCTAATGAGCCACTCCAGAACATCCTTGAAGTCCGCTGCATTTTTTCCATCACTTGACACGTTCGCCGCGAAGTGGGGCGTACACTCGTACTCGTACTTTTATTTGCGTAATTGGCCAAATGCTGAGTGATGTGGCCGGCGACTTTATGGCTGAACAAATTTAATGCGCTTATCGGCATCCGTTCTTGGCCATTAAATGACCCGCATTCAGCGGCAGGGGAACGCTCGCCCCACATCCTTTGGAACTCTCCTCCAGCCAATAAAAGTGTCAAACGAAATGCGTGTAATGAGCATTGCTTGTCGTCCCCCAATCGAATGTCCTGGCCTGGCTTCTGACCGACTGGCCAAAGTGTTTTAAAATGCAAAGTATCATTATTTGTGTGCATCGTTAAATTTCATTTAAAGCCAGCCAATGACGACTCCTCCCCATTGACCTTTGGCCCCTTTGCCTTGTTTATCTTCAATGGCAGGGGACAGAGTGTCCCGGTTTCCGCTTCTGGTCGCGCTTATCGTATCGTTGTCATCTTTATTGGCTGCCATTATGGTCCTGCGGGTGTCCATAATTTACCATGTAATTTGATTACCCAGCCCAACCCATCCCAGCCTTCGGATATCAAAAACTTTATCAACACTTTGCGGCTTTTCAAAGGGGAGTATTAATGCATATAAGGTTATGTAGGAAATTCAGGTTGGAGAAGAAAGGATACATTGTATCTTGAATATAATTTTGTTTATTATTTTTGGTAATGGAACATAAAATTTGAATACTTTTAATTAAGGCAACATAATTAAAAACATTCCATTTTTTTTGCTCCATTACCAAAAATTAAACATTAAATTTGAAAAAACAATTTGTTAAAGTGGAATGGTTTTTCCTTATAGTTCCTTTAAATCATTCCCTTTGACGGTCATAGATTCGCATGCATAAACGTGAGGAGAAATAAAGGTTCATCAACTAAAATAAAGATTAAAATTATTAAACATTCATTAATTCCCTTCAAAATATTCAACCGCCAAAACCATTCCCAGCTGAAATAAGCGATGATCAAAATGGGGATCCACATTATCCAAATAGTTTCCGCAAACAACCCACACGACCATTTTAGTAAAACAACACAGTACTATGGCCACCAAAAACTAAGGGATATTTTAAAGGATATTTTAAGGGACCTGATACCAAATTTTCTCAGAGGGTCTCACAGTTTTCAAAATAGTTATCTGTTCATAAATAAATCCACAAATGGCAACAATCGAGAAACCAATTAGAAACCCATTGGTGATGAAATTAACGACACAAGTGGCGAAGTGGGGTCTCTCAACCAATTCAATCACATCTTTACTGTATTCGTATAGTTCCAAGAATTCTATAAGCTGGGAATCTAATTTAGAGATTTGGAAATTCAAATTTATAATGGCGTAGACTCACTGCGGTGAGGATTATTAAGGACACTACTGCAATTTTGTGAAAAATAAGGCTCCACTTTTGACACATTACAAAAATTTTATTATTTTGTGTGAATTTTTATATATATTTTTTTAAAATTTATTAAATATGAAGGAAGTAGCAAGCCTTACTACTATAGTGACTATCCAAGAAAATAAAATGTATAAAATACTAGTGTTTTTGGGTTCTAAAATTCTAAGCTCTGCAGAGCTGAGTATCTCTAATAAGAGATGGATACGTGCCCATCTTTAGTTTCAATCATGTAGAATAGCTGATCCTGCAGGTTAAGAAAATGAAAGCCTAACTTGAAAGGCACACGGAGTATTTCCATCTTTTATATCATTATGTTGTTGAAGTATTCATAGTTCTAAAATTGTTTTAAAAAATATCGTACATTAAATTTTTAGATAAAATTTAAAAATATTTAAAATTGTGCAATTGTTGCTTGATTCTTGGTATCATTCTCTATGCATCTCATCGAGCCGCATCCACAAAAGTGAAGAGAAACAAAGGCTGAGCAACTAAAATAAAGTTTAAATTATTTTTTTTCATTAAAGTTTTAAAGAACATAGTTTCCTAACCGCCGAAACGAATCCAAGCTGAAATAAGCGGTGATCAAAAAAGGGATCCACCTTATCCAGATAGTTTCCGCAAACAACCCACACGACCATTTTAGTGAAGCAATACACTACTATGGCCACCAGAAACTGAAAATATTTTGAATGACTAGGTTTTGAAACAAAAATTTAATAGAGAGACTCACAGCTAGCAAAATATATAATTTTTCCGTGATAATTGCATAAATCCCGGCCATGGAGAAGCAAATTTGAAGCCCATTGGTGATGAAGGATATGATACGTACGGGGAAATGATATGACTCAGTCGATTTAATTATACTTTTACTGTTTTCGCATATTTCATAGGTGTCTATGAACTGAGAGAATGGCTATGATTATTTGGGAATTCACGTTTAGCATATAACCGACTTACTGCGTTAAGGATTATCAAGGTCACTACTGCAATTTTGTGCAGGATAAGGCTGTGCTTCATGCACATTCCCAAAACTAGTTTGTTTTTGTGTTAATTTTTTTTATCAAAATAAAATATGAAGGAAGTAGCAGGTATTACTACTTTAATAATTTTCAAAGCACATACAATTTATAAAATGTCTGTTTTAAACGTCGTCTTCACTGAGCTCGTGGAATCTCATGCAGAGCAGGGTAGTTCCAATCAACGAGAAAAGCTTTAAAATTGTATAGTTGTTATGGAACTTGAAAAAGTGCATTAATTTGGCATACCGTTGATAACATACTGAGCTGAAACCACAGATGCGTGACTAAGTAATTCACTTCTCCCAATAGATTCCCACAGATGATCCAAAGGATAAGCTTGCACAGACAATAAGCTATCAACACCAACAGAAACTGAAAGTAACTTCCAATATTTTAGGTTATGATCAAGAGACAACAAAACACACACCACTTGGAACATACGAATTTTTTCGTAGTAGAGTGCATAAACTCCCACAAACGAGGAAAATGCGCAGATTAGACCTATGGACATGCTTATACAAAGCAAAATCACATGCTTCCTTACGGTTAGGATATTGTAAATGTCCTCAATCGAGTCCAAGAAGTTGAAGGTCTGCAAGTATTGTAAAATAGTGGTGGACCGGAAACACTAGAGTGACCAACTCACTGCGGAGATTGCTAGTAGCAGTATGACCATAAATTTAAGACCGATGGTGGGACAAAAGCACATTTCACTGAAAATTTCAAATGATTCGAAACTAAGAATGACAAAATAAACAAGTAATACTCATTCTTTAAATTAAGAGGTAAATCATTTGTTTATAAGAGGGAATGGTTATTTATAGCAATGAATGATAACATTTTTAAACCATTTTTAGTTTGTTATTTACGAGTTCTTAGCCGCAAGATGTTCAAGTAGATGACTTGGGTTACATGGGTAACTCCTTGCCACATGTGTATGTGAAAGCAAGAAGGACTACAAAGCGGCCAGCAGCTATGCCAACAACACTGTTGACAATTTCCAGTTGAGGGCACAAAGCAGAGACATCTCCCCCAGCTTCGCAGGATCCTTGTATCTGTGTGTCCTGCTAAAATAATCGCCACAATAATCTGTCAACGACAGCTGCTGATGTCATAAAAACCTTTTGAAGATGTTGTTGCTGGAGTCCTTGTAAGGACACGCACAGACCCACAGCAGCAGCAACAACAGGCTAATGATAATTTGCCACAATTTACACTCAAACCAGCCACAGCAACAGGACCTCCCGGCCAGGTCCTGTCCCTTTCCCTTTCAACTTCCTTTCGCCACAAATGGTTGCGATAAAATCATTGATGAAGCCAGAAGCTAATTGAATGTTAATCGCTTGGCATTGACATTGCACTTGGCAGGCAATGGCAGGCAGGCGGGAAAATGTTGGGTAAAAAATGGGAAAATAGAAAAACGCCACCCTCCCTTCCAGGTGGGGGTTGAACTCCCGCAGCAGTTGCTCTCCGATAAGCGCTCAAAGGTAAGAGGTCAATTTGCATAAGGTAATGATAAGTCAACAGCCAAGCGGCGACCTTCAAGATGCGTTGTTTTCCCCCAACTTTACTTGTGCGTTTCTTTTTTTGTTCCTCAAAAGCAAATAAAATACAAACAGCCTTTAAATTAAAAATTAAAATTTAATCAGCCTCACGATGCGTATCATCAGTTAGAAGCGGAGGAATGGTCGCTTTTGCTTTCTGTCTGCTTCTGTGACATATCGTGATAGCGGGTCTGCTTTCTTTTCTTCTACTTTCACTCCACTAGCCAGAGTCCTTAGACTATATTTTTTTAGAAACTTAAGAGCCCGTAAAATGAGGTTTTTAAACAAGAATTTAAAAGAGCTTACAGGTTAAATAGCTCTATAGGCTTGAAGGTTTCTTTTTAAAGCTGTTAGATTACAAAAAAATACACTCTACCATTAGCACTCTGTTCTTGAATTAAAACATATAAACCAGTCGTTCAAAAACAAGCCAACAAAATGTTTCAATTGCAATTGCCACTGCCCCTGACAGCAGAATCACATTAAATGCAGTCGTCTCTCTGCCACATTGGGGCAGCAACCAGCAACGGTTCCAGAATCCGGACCACGGTACAGCCCTTTTCAGGTTCTGTGGAGTCAAAGCTGCATTGTTGCAACACAAACGCAAATTCAAATGCAAACAGACGGCCAGAACAGAACAGTAACAGCAGATGCATCAATTGTCTAATTGTTTGCCGAGACAGAGTCGTCATAATGTCCATGAAATTGGCGGGAAAAGTAAGGGGGATACGGCCATGTCCAAGCTATAGAGGAGGAGACGGTGTCTGTGACGGCGTCTGGAGTGTCATCCGACGTGGAGAGACCCGTGGGATAGGTAAATTTGATTTATGACCTATTATGCGTCTTATGTCCAGCCATAATTTAATTATACCAGACATACAGCCAGCCAGTCAGACGAAACCGAAAACAACAAACTGACATTGTCTGCATTTTTTCCAGGACATCATATTTACACGGAAAACAATGTTTAAAAATGTTTAAAAAATAAGATTGATATGATTTTGTTAACAAGTTTTTAGAGAAAAAATGGGAATAACGAATGGAAAAATTTATAAGGTTTTTTAAGTTTTATTATTGGGGTATTCTTTTGGATATGAAAAAGGTGAATGTTTTTTAATACCTCTAGTATTATACAAATATTCTCTGTGCAACATACCAACGCCTAAATAGTTTCCACAATCTGCCACACATAATGCTGTTATTTAAATCATGAAAATTCGCTTACCCAAATTGCATTGCAACAATTGCTGAGATCCCGTACCCGTACCCGTACATATTCCCATATTCCGAAATCCGGATACCGGATTGTTTTTGTCTGTCTGTCGTTTTGTGGCAGTTTCGGGCAAAAAGTCAAGCCGACAATCTCAAGCCGGAATGTAAATGTAATTAAAGTGCAGTTAGGCCAATGGAGTGTGTAGAGTACGAGTGTGCTTGGCATTCCAAATGAAATTGAAATAAATTATTGACTAATTGTCAACTCAGATGAGGGCAATCTGGCAGAATGTCCTGTCTGTGGCACGGGGCGTATGAGCAATCAAATTGCAAATCAAAACCCAGCCACAATAACAACAAGTGCAGCTAATTTTCCAAAGAAAAATTCTCGTACTCTGATTTTGAACACGTTTGCCATTTAATTTGATTGCCATTGACCTGTCTTGGGGGAATCGAATTGAATGTCTTTATTGCATGTCTCATTAGTGTCATTTATAAATTGGAATCAAATATTAGACTCAAGATGTAGGTGGTAGGATGTAGGAGGTTTGAGATTAATTGCAAGAAAAAGCTTAAAGTGCTTCCCTCATTAATCTCCCTACACTCTACAGAGTCTATATGTCTTATAACACTTTTGATTATGCAATCCGATCGCTAAAATATCACTGTCATAACAAGCATTTGATCGGCTCTCTATCTTTTTCAATCGCCTGTCAATGCATTCAATTGAACCCATTTAACTTGACCATATTAGGGCGCCACAAGCCATATATCCATATCGACATCTATTCAGACCACATGTGGCCTCTTGGCAAATGTCAAGATTAAGCTTCGAGGGGCAGCATGTAAACGATTAATGGTGCGTTGCGGTTACGCTGGCATAAATAACCGTTAATTAACCAACAATAATTATAACAAGTGCAAAAGTCCACAAGCCGGGATTCCGGTTTCGACGGGGAAAGGTGTGTGCGAAAAATATTGAATCCAATTAAAGGGCCCCAGCACACGACCTGGCACGCCCCCGCAAATCCGCTTAAAGCTTCGCCCAAAAAAATAATAGCTCGGAGACCCCATTGAAGGCCGCGGTCGGGGCGGTCCATAATGATGATGTAGCAAAAACCAGTTGCTCAAATAAAGTCTGACCCAGTGCTCATGAGCAATTGCGCTGGAAGGTCTACCCGAGTCGGTGTTTAATTTGCAACAATCGATCTCTGTCTTTATTAACCGCCAAACATTAACAAGAAGCTTTAACAATAGCCGGAGACATAACAAGGCTTAGAAACCCCAGTGGGTGCCGAAGCCGTCGAAGCTCATGTGGGAAACAGACTCGGCGGGCGAGTACTGAACTGTCTGGGAGGTGCCGTAGCTGGAGACGCCCAGGGCGGGAGCATTGTGGGTGTAGGTGGTGGCAGCGGGTCCGTGGTTAATGTTAGTGGTGGCCAAGACGGGAGCGGGAGCGGCATAGACAGGAGCTGGGGCGGCATAAGTCTTGGCGATCACGGGAGCAGGAGCAGCGTACACGGTCTTGGCCACGACGGGGGCAGGAGCGGCATAGACGGTCTTGGCCACGACGGGGGCAGGAGCAGCGTAGACGGTCTTGGCCAGAACTGGAGCAGGAGCGGCGTAGACTGGAGCTGGGGCAGCATAGGTCTTGGCAATTACTGGAGCAGGAGCGGCATAAACATGAGCTGGGGCAGCATAGGTCTTGGCGATCACGGGAGCAGGAGCAGCGTAGACAGTCTTGGCCAGAACTGGAGCAGGAGCAGTATAGACAGCCTTAGCAACCACAGGAGCAGGAGCAGCGTACACAGTCTTCTCGACCACCGGAGCCGGAGCATGGACAGCCACAGTCTTGGCCACAATGGGAGTGGCCTGGGTGTACAGAGGAGCAGCATACGTGGTCTTGGCAATGGCCGGAGTGTAGACGTTGTTCTGGATCCGGGTGTCGGTCTTCCTCACGCTCGAGTACGGGGTATCGACAGCCTTGGAGTAGCTGGAAACAGTTCCGGCGAAGGAGCGGACCACATTCTGCTGGGTGGCGGCCACCGCGTCTACGGAGGGATTGGCCACAGCCAGGAGACCGGCGTTGGCGCATGCCAGCAGGGCGCACAGGGGGATGAGGTAGCGGAAAGCCATGGCTAGCAACTGAAAAGATGACTGGCAAGTCGACGGATTGTTTCGGGTGGTGATGGCAGGCTGGCTGGGCTGCGACTGATGCTGATTTGGCCAAAATGTTGCGGCTTTTATACGCATCCGAATCGGACGCGTGCCAGTTTTTATTTTTTTTTCCTTCGATTTTAGTGATTTTTGCTGGCTTTGGTAATTGAACTTCCCACAATGCGATGTGTGAGTTGCTCACCTGTCGCCGGTGATTGGCGCAACCGCTTGAAAGCCAATTTGCTGGAATAAATTAAACGTGGTAATTAGGTTTGCGGGCTGGCAACAAACCAAAGAGCCAGCAAAACCTTCAGAGCCCTGGTGTAAAATTAATAACAATTTGCCAAAAAAAAAGGGAAGAGCCAAAAATATTTTCCAGAACTCTCTTTCTGGTGTAAGAAGCATCCCAAGTTGGCAACACAATTCAATTTGGAGCAGCGTCAACTTTTGTAATTTCAATAAATATTCATCATGCGCCCCGTGAGCAGCCGAGCAGGAAAATTCATTCTCCAAACTTGGCCAAAAAAAAAATGCGAGAAGGAGATAACTTTATTGGGACATCCATACAGCGAAGTGTTGAATGCTCTGTTTGTTTAGGGGGTCAAAAGTTTTTTTCTTCCTATATTTACTGATCGAAACTTTTTTGTTTTATTAATTACACATATACCTTCTTAAAATTATGTATTTTTCTGATCATCCATATCTCCCCTCCTGAAAAAAAAAACAATTCAGTTGCCCCTGGGGAGCAAAAAACAAACAAAAATCATAAACAACACCACCGACACCCCTGCTGATACAAAAGTTGACAGCCACAAGGAACATCCCCTTATTGAGAAGTACTTCCTTTCTTTCATTTTTTTGTTGAGGGAGTTTCAGGGAAAATTTGCTGCTCGAGTAGAACTCAATTTAATGGAAAAATACGCCAAGCAAATAAAAGTTTCTTTGGGGCACTGGAAAATTTATGAGCTGTTGATAGTATTCAAAATAATTCACTTCCCTGGGAGGCGGGGCTCTTAGACTGGCCTCCAAGCTGGCCTGACATAGCGCGGGAATAAGCCAAAAAGCACAGTCATTTGTCGACCCAATGAACCAGTTTTGGGGCTTAGGCCTAAAGTCTATCTGTCACACATACAAGCGCTGGATGGCCGTGAAATTTGGCCATAATGTTTGAGGTTTTTGGCTATAAAAACTGCGAATTGAAAACAGATCAGCATCAGTAGCCACTGCAGCTCACTTCCAGCATCATTCAGTTAATTGATTTTTAAAGTCAACTTAGAGTCATGGCCTTCAAGTACGTCCTCTTGTCCTTCTGCGCTCTGGTGGGTGTGGCCAGCGCTGGCCTCCTGGCTCCGGCCACCACCTACGCTGCCTCCTACCCGGTGGTCGCCAAAGTGGCCCAGCCGCACTACGATGCCGTCGGTACCACCCAGCAGAACGTGGTTCGCTCCTTCGGCGGTACTGTCTCCACCTACTCCAAGAACGTGGTCACCCCCTACTCGAGCGTCAGCAAGGTGGACTCCCGCATCACCAACAACGTCTACACCCCGAAGACCCTCTACTCTGCTCCTGCTCCAGTGATCACCAAGTCCATCTATGCTGCTGCCCCGGCTCCTGTTGTGGCTAAGACTGTGTACGCCGCTCCTGCTCCAGTTCTGGCCAATACTGTGTACGCCGCTCCCGCTCCAGTTCTGGCCAAGAGTGTGTACTCCGCCCCAGCTCCAGTCTATGCTGCTCCTGCTCCCGTGATCGCCAAGACCTACGCCGCCCCAGCTCCAGTCTATGCCGCTCCGGCTCCAGTTCTGGCCAAGACCGTGTACTCCGCCCCGGCTCCAGTTTACGCTGCTCCCGCTCCCGTGGTGGCCGCCGCCCCCGCCGCCTTCGTGAAGTACTCCCCCGCTGCCGTGGTTGCCCATGCCAGCTTTGATGGATTCGGTTCCCACTGGGGATACTAAACAGTCCCATCGCATCCGACGCATTTGTTGACACTTTGTTGATTTGTCCGTACGATTAAAAAGTTATAGCTGCATAAAACATGAAATCGCTTTTTAACTAATTAATAAAGTGGGTGAAGGGGAAATGTGAAAGGGATAAAGGATTATAAAAAATTTGCTAGGTCCATTAGAATTCAGATAAAGAAAATATTAAACAAGATATAAAAGAGTAGATGTGTGATATTGGAATAAATATTTTCCCAAAGGAAAAAAGATTTTACTTATTTAGGAAAGAAATATTGGATAGGGCTATAGGGCTACACATTTTTCCAAAAAATGTTATCAATATTATTAATTTGCTAAAATCTATAATTTTTTGTGTATATTTTAACTAGTTCAAAACGTATCCAAAAATCAAATACCATTTATGAATCAGAGCTCCATTCCCCTTCGATTTGCATCAAAATATTGAAAAAATCCAACCAACAAAATTTTGACCAATTTTTGGCTAAAATCATGATGTTACCCCTTTGAAAATTTTGGTAAAATGGCTAAAAAAATAATTTGCCAGGTTTTGATGGAGAAATAATCTACTCGAAGATCTACGATCGGGAAGGTACATCACTTATGAATCTGTCAAGTATTTGCAGAGTTATGCCCATTTTTCCATTTCAAAAATTGCACAAATTGGATTATTATAAATTTTATTTTTTTTTACAAAAATTGTTCTTCCATTTAGAGTATTGTATGAAAATGCAATATTGCTTAAATAAATATTTAATGAAGCCCTTTTGATAGTCTAAAACAGAGTTCTGTACTTAAATCTGCAAACACTCCATCTCATAAACCTTGAATCGAAAGCAACACTTTCACCCTTTCTTTATTGTTTCTTGAGTCCGGCATTCCATTTGTCTGGCGTTTAATGGGGCATATGTGTGCCAAATAATTTTGTGTTCACTCCAAGAACCTTAAACTGGAATCCCTTTCATACTGCAGGCCCTCGGCCGTAGCTCCTTTTTTATTTGGCCAGAATGAAAATATTTAGTGCAAAACTTTCTGTTTGTCTTTGTCGGCGGCGGGGAGGTGCAACCGAAAACAAAAAAATTGTTGGCCAAAGTTTAATGAGCCGCATGACCCTTTGGTCTTCGCTGTCCCTATATCCTGTGTATAAACTTTGCGGCGGGTCAGTCGGCAGCTTGACCAGGCTCTTCTGTTTGCACTTGTTGTTGTTATTATGGTTACGGTTATGGTGTTCGACGGCTAAAAAAGTTTTCGCCACAACACCCACTCTTGCACGCATAAAAAACGGCATTAACGATGTGGGCCGGAGAGCAAACTATTTAGCCATAAAGTTGGTCGTTCCGCCGGACAATTTTGTATGCATATTTTATGGATTTTCAAATGCTGCAAAATTGTTTTTCCACTGCCAGAATTTAATGTTGACAACAATAAAATTTATGTACGGAGCTTAAGGGTGGCAGGGTGGAAGGTGCAGGGCGGAAGGAAGAAAGGACATAAAAAGAATATAAACTCGGTTAGGTGAGGGGATGTCCTTGAATATTTGCCGTTTGGCTGCATTTGCATATTGTTGCGATTGTCGAGGGGCCCTGTGTCCGGGATTGGAGACCAATTCCGTGTCCAAATCTCCGGCTGTCCTGGCATTTTCAATACTTTTTCAATCGTCTGACATGCTTTGTTGATTTCTTTATTGGCTCATCCATATGCATGCCACCGCCGGACACTGGACCCTGGACACTCTGGGATTCGCCATTCCGGACATTGGATTCGAGACTCAAGTGTTTATCGTTATTGATTGCAGATTGTGAAATATGAGCAAAGTCGAATCCAATTTGTCTGGCTCTTCTTATTTTAGAAAATTCAGAATTTTCTTCTTGACGTTGTAACAGAATAATAGAAATCTTATTTAATTTTGTTTATTTTACATCTAAAATTTATAAATTCACAATAATTTTGTAGAAAAATATACAATATACAAGACTGGTAGTTAATATAATTAGCCTCTATTCCGATCTAAAATACTGGCTCTATGATGCTCAATGCGTAACAGTAGTTTCCAGTACGTGACGATGCTCAGGACCAAAGCAAACTGTTTAAGAATTGTAAATAATTATATTATTTACTAATTTTTGCATATTATATTTTTTTACCTGCACTACAGAATAGATGAGTTCGTTATAATAACTCCGAGCGGGCATCATTTTCACAGTGGAGCATCCAATTTTGTAGAGGCCCTCCGGTACAAGTTTGTAATTCAAATAACACCATTCTGGGATTGGTTTTTGAAAAACTATGTAGTCTTTAGGACCCAACACTCCACAGCATTGATACTATAATAGATCAACCATTAACCTCAAAAGTGTTACATCTATTAGTCACTTACGGTTTCTTCAAAATATTTTAAGGACAGACCCGATTGCCAAATTCGAACCACATCGCTAATGGCAGGATATTGTTGTGATTGCACAAGATCCAATAGCATCTCCAGCCATGCGGCCAGAAACAGGATCATCACATGCTAGAAATCAATGAAAAAAGGAGATTTATAGCCAATCAATGAACTTACGATTCGAAGTTGTCGAACTGCATTCAAGAGCACAAAAGGTATTGCCAGAAAGAGTATCGGCAGCAGGGAAACCGCCAAACCCAATCCTACAAACTTGTAAATCTTGTATAGACAGCTCCAGCAATCTCTCATTTTCTGCAGTTCACTGAAATAGTACCAAATGTTTATGCCATTTATGATCTAAGTACACATAATTGATTAAGAGTCAGTTTCCTGTTGAAAAACTTCCAAAGACTCACGAAACAGGCCGCCCATATTAAATACACCAAATACCGAGTTATTCTTATAGCCTTTTCATAACACAATTCAATGGGATCTGGGTCAAGTTCAATCATAGTTTCAAGAATTATTCCGCAAATATAATTGAGTGTGTATAATTTTAAAGAAAACTGGAGTGAACATGCTAGGCATTCTTATTTGGGGGTGTTAAGGGATTAAATTTTAACCTATCCCCTACTAATCTCAGGAATTTGCATAGATTTCTGGAGCCCAGTAGCCTCTCGCGGAAGTGGAAGGAAGCGGTAAGGTTATGGGTATCCTAGAACTAAACATACATCCAAGCCATTCAAGTCCTTCCTCCATGAAACGCTGCTATGGAATTTTTTAATCAAACAGTTACCATTAATTACTGCAAAATTCTGTAGCCACATAACAGACATTTTTTCGACAGCCCGGCGCTCTGGAATGAATGAAAAGAAAACAGATTCCGCTGCCCTCATGTCTTTGTGTGTGTTTTTAGTCTAACTACTGGAGCGAGTATCTGCGAGATATAGTATCTGCGAGGGCTGCCGGATAAGGATTGCCAAGAGAACCAACCGCAGACACCGAAAGGCAAAAGAAGCACCAACTAAAAATCAAATTAGGTGCAAACGAGGGCGCCCGTCAGCGCCAGGAAGCAAAAAAAAAAAATATAAAAGGGAGATGTGGGCGTGTCGTGGTTGCGATTTAGTAATGAATAATTTATAATGCAAGCTGATGGTTTTTTACACTCTTTTTGTTTGTGAGCTTTTAGTTGAGATTAAAATTTTGCGGCTTTCCAGCCCGGACGCATTAAAGTTCATTCCTGGCAGCAGGATTTGCTTTTATTCCACGGGCTGATGAATGTGCGTGGGCGGGTGTCAAGTGCACGCTCGTGAATTCAATTTGATACACAAACTGATTTATCGACTCACAGCAGAGGCCAAGGCATGTACTATGCACTGAAAAAAATAAAAATGTATTAGAAAAGGAAGAGCTAAGTCCCAGATTCAGGAAGACCTAGAAAGAACTTAGTAGTAGCAGGAAGTAGACCATTTTGCATTGCATTGGTTTTCTCTGCATATATTATTGGATTCCCTTAAAGCCATATATTTTTTTGTCCAGTGTAGACATTGTCTCAACTCAACTGCCACACGCCATTCATAAGTCAGTCGTCGTCAGTGGGAGTTCAGTGGCAAAAGTCGCTAGCGGATGCGGATGCGGAGACGATAAAAAATTACATACACTTGTAACTGGTGTCCTCCAGCTACATGGTCTTCATGGATTCGCCTCTACTCCGGAGTTATTTACCATGTCTGGGGCACCAACTCGACTCTGCAGCCTCTAACAAGGTTAATTTGTTGCGATCGCAGTTCTCTGTCATTTATCTTCGCTGTCAGCGGCAACTTCTCGCAAAGGACGAATAGAAAAGAGTCGGGCTATCGTTCTAATTTGAATTTAACAAGCTAGCAGGATGCTCACAGGGATGATGGAACTGGTTGGTGGCACCATCAGTCTATCAATCTATGGGGGGAAGCATTGAAAATTAAAAATTTATTGCCAGGCAGGGTGTCAATCATCGCTGACATCATTCTCAGATCGGAAAGTAATAAACTGAAGGAGGATAGTAACGTGGTTAATATTGAATCACGGAAAATATTATTTATGAGGGTTTTTGAGAAGCTCCCTTTTTAATATTTAATAAAAGTATTTCATAGATTTTATATATTTTAGATTTTTGATAGTTTATGAAATCCCAATTCACTAAGAAATCATTTTTCAGCATCCTACCACAAAGTAACCAACACACATCCTAAATCAACGTCAATTTGTGTTTGTGACTCTCGGCAGCATCCTTTCCCAGGCATCCTTTTCCTTTTTTTTTGACCATCCATTGAACGTTTCAATTTCACTTGTTGGCTTCGATTGTCGCCTGTAGCCTCCGACAATTGAAAGCGACACTTTTATGGTTTTCAGATTTGTTCGATGTATCCTTGTTCCTTTTATCCTTTTTTCTGTACTGGCCATGTTAACACTTTTGGTTCCATGTTTTATTACTATCTGGCTTGTGGTAGTTTTTTTCACAGCATGTTCTCCTAATTGAGAAATTCTTTGGAAAATGATGAGAAAATGAAAAATGAATTAGAGCTCCCTGTAGCTCTAATTTCCGAAACATTAAACAATAGTTTCGGGGTTTAATATTATTTTTATCCCCCTAGCCAAGGCCTTGCAAGGTCTCGGGCAAATAAAATTTAGTTGCATATTTTGTGGCGTCGAATGGCAGTAACAAAAATGAATGAAATCGTAAAATTTTGACCGCACTGGACCGCATCCAGTAAGCTAATAACGTACACTCAAAAACCGGATGCGCCACAGACCAAAAGCCGCACAAAAGCTGACCCCTTGCTGCCCCAGATGACCCCGGAACTATAGGGGATTTTTTTCGTTAATACACATACACAAAAATTTTTGGATATTATATAAATATTGTTGAAAATTAGTTGTAAAGAAGGAGCTCTATGTTTTAAATTTTCATCTCTTAGAACTCTTTTTTTTTTAATTTTTTTAGTTTCTTACCCTTTATATCTCACAGTGTACTAGCATCTAAGCTTTCATGTGCAAGTGTGATTCTGGGTTTTGTGTGCATTGGCATTTAAGTGCCGAAAACAGTTTTTGAAAATGGCTAGGAGGGCTGGGAGGATATGGAGGGCATGGAGGATATCCTAGCCAGAAACCAGGACGTCTAACATAACCTCAATTTGTATGCGTTCTATCTTTCATTTCGTATGTTTTTTTTGTTTGTCTGTTTGCCTTTGTATATGTCTTTCTTTTTCTATCGTCCTGCAGCCGTCGCTTTCGAATGGGAATTGCAATTGCAGTGCTCCTTGTCTCTTTACCCGCATCCGCGCTGGCTAAATATTTGATTTTTGCATTAAAGTCTATTTGCTTTCATGATTCCGTAATTCATTGTTTACTCACGCCAACTTCTATTACGCCTTCCGCCGACCCAGCCCGCACAGCCCACCCAGCCCGCTTTGATTGTTTATTTTTATATACCCATCCCCGCGGGCTACGCCCCATCCAGAGTCTCCTGGTATCCCGGAATCCCGCATATCCGTTGCACTTCCCCAGTCATATCCCACCCAGCCTCATCCTCAGCCACAGATCCCAACACCAGACCCGGCTCGCCGATATCCGCATCATCTTTGTTTGTTGCTCGCAGCAAGGTTTTGGTGGCTCAGCCTTTTGTCTGCCTCGTCCCTTTTCCAGGACCTTCTCAGGACCTTCCACCACCAGCATCCTCCTGTTTTAATATGCGCTCCCAACGCTAGAAATTAAATCTGGCTCTCAAATGTTATTTGCGCTTTTCGTTTATTTATTTATTAATTATTTGCTTACGCGGCTGCCAGTTCTGGTTGTCGGCTTTTGGTCCTTGCTTGGTCCTGGCTGGTGCTTTGTCCTGGCCCAGTTTTCATTAGGTAATGCATAATAAGCTGGAGAACTTGTGCGAGTGAATTTAATTTATATTATTGGCCCTCTGTGTGGGGAGAATGGTTCTTTGGCCTTATAGCTGCCAGGAAAAGGCAATTATAAAACTGAATATGAATAGAAAATGGGAAAAAAGTGTTTCCATTGTTTTGTGGAAAGCTTAGGGAGGAAAATATTATCACAAAATTCGTATTATCTTTTAAAACCTTCATAGTTTATTTCTCCAAACCAAAGCATGTGTGATTTTTACATCCAACTTACCTCCTACTTGGCTTATATCAGAGCCATCATATCAAGCTTTTATGTTTACGTTGCTCTACTCCCGGAATTATGCCAGACGCAGCTCGAAAATGGAAAAGTCAAATCAATACGACCCGCCCATCAATATCCCTCAGACATTATTATAAGAGGCGCGTCGCGTGCAATTTTAACGAGCTTTACGCATTTTATCGTCCGGGAAGCTGGCGCAACATCACAGGAAAAAGCCAAAGGAAAATCAAGCTTGAAGACGTTGTCATTGCCTCATCGTCATCATCATCATCGCAGGACGACGACAAGGATGTGACTGCAGTAAAAAAGAATCTAATTTAGTTCGCGGTTTGCATACAAATATCCTTCCCACCGCAGCTATTTCTGCGGCTCTATACGATTATGTGTGATGTGAGGGTGTTAATTCGCAATTGGTGTCACGATATACATTGATTCGCCATTTGACTTATGCATTTTTCATTAATTGTCTTGTCTCATCTTGTAGCTGGAAATGGTGGGGTTTCTTATGGAGTGAACCAGCCAAGCCCAGAAATTTAATCAAAAATTCTAATTCGAATCCAAAGTTGGGCATAAGTTTTTAATGACTTTTCCAACTTGGCGTTGAAGTTTTAGATGCCCTGTTACAGCAATTACTGCAATCGAAGCCAACAGAGAGAAAAAAGTGATAAAAATTCAAAGAGAGAATTAGAGAATTAAGGAGCTTCAAATGGGCACTTAGAGTTCATTTAATTTATCTGATATCTTTTAGATACTTTCTTTTCTTTTATGGTATTTTTTTCTCAGTGGTAACCCAGGTGACTGCTCCACAGGACTTCTCAGTTAGACACAACAGCAAACAAAACATCGCTGAGCCCAAACCGCTAATCGCGTTACACAAAACTTGTGCCTCAAAGCGGCAAGCACACACATTACAAGGCAATCGAGCGCGAAATTCCACATACGCCCCGTGTGACGTGGCCTGGCGTGACGTGACGCGGCGATAGCGAAAGGCATTCAAGTCATTTCCGCTTAAGCAATCAGTTTGAGGCACCGCCAAGTCAGTCGTCATCTACGGAATCCTTCTACTCCTCCACCGCCGCCGCAGCCGCCTCCTCCTCGACCTCGAAAGTCCAAAAACATTCCAGGTGCCCCACCGGCGGATACCCGCCACTTGACATGAAAGCCGCGTGCTGTTGTCGCTCTCGGAGCTGAATGCATTTGAATGCCGCAAAATGCTGCTCGAAAAACCGACATAAATACAAACAAACATGGCTGTCTGCTGGTGGCTTCCTTTTACTGAAACCCTCAGAAGGTGCCTTGAATTTCAGGCCAGATTAGTTTCAGGATAAAGTTTACAAAAATCTATAGTCTGGAAAAATAAAAATACCTTGTATAGGCTTACCCCTATTTAGTTGTTAAATAAAATTAGAAATTAGAAAAATTCTTCCTTGAAGCAATGAGTTATAATTTGTATAGCCTGCCTAGCCCTTGACGCCTAGACCGGAAACCGGAAATTTAAAGCCTTGCCAAACAAATCAAGCTCCTCGCTGGTCGTCTCGTCGTGCCACCTGCTTGTTATTTGTTGTTGCTATGCAGTTGTTGAATGATGGTTGTTGTTCTTGCCACTGCCAGACACTGCGGACAGTTTGAGTTGCATTGTGCAAAAGTTTAATTACAATTTGTACACTTTTTCGTGCAATTTTCCGTTAAAAGCGAACGAAACTTTTTTATTGATATTGCTGGGAAAGCGAGTGCGAGTGCTGCAGTATCTGAGTACCCCCTTCTTGACTCTTATTTTATCCACCGACCTCCGGCTCAATGTCAAGTGTCATGTTATCCGGGACTTATTCATGTCTGCCATCACAAAGGGAGGAAAACTCAACCGGAAGAGTGAAGAAATTACTTGCAAATTGATTACTGGCATTGCCTGGCGAGGCATTCAGTCACTTTTTATCGCTTAATAGTGGATGTCACATTACGAGAACTTAAGAAACTCTATGAAAATATGATGTTCTAAAGGATGTTGGCCTTTCTTGGCTTAAATTATACTTCTATTTCTAAGACTTGTAGCTTTTAGTTGAAGAATGATACACCTTATACACCATAGTATGTATATAAAACCCCTCTAGATAGCCTGAATAGTCAACTACCCATGGAAATACCCCAACATTTGGTGAGACTATGGAATAAATCTATGTATATTTTATATATGAAAGTCAAACAGGAAATTGCCAAAGTGCGAATTCCGTGGGTGCTGCAACTCCAACACATGCCACTGAAAACTTGATTAGGCCTATATGCAAATGTGTCAACTTTATGTGCAATATTTCGACACATTTCGACACTTGTTGCCATAATGAACTGCCTGAATATTCCAGCAGTTTCAGTTCCCCCCTCTTAAAAAGCCCAACTGTTGCACAACTATTGGCAGGCACTGTTGCGTGTTGCAATCGCGGAATATTCGCGGAGCTTGTAATTCGCACAGAAAATTAAATTAAACTAAATGACAGCCCGTGTGGCGGTGTTTTAAAGCCTGTCTTGCCACATTCAACACTTTGGGCGGGTTGCCGGGATTGGCTGTGCATAAATTGCAGCTATTGTTTAAATATTTGCCAACATAATTAACTTAATTCAATTGGATTTCCATTAGAGTCGCACGCACAACTTGCAACTGAAGGGAGCGAGATGAGAAGCCCGGAGACTGCGGCAATGTTTGCCCAGCTAAGGTATTTCCCCTGCCAGGATATCGGAGGCAGAATCAAAGGATTCGACTTGCATAACATATGAGCTAGTGAGAGGACATTGCAAGAAAATATTTATACTACTATCATAGGATATCCCTTAATACTAAGTTTAACTATAATTTTTCTCCCTGTGTATGAAGATGATGCGAGTCAAAGATGCCTCGTGACTCCACTTTGACTTTGTCTACGACTTCCCTGACGTTGTCTATTGACTTTAGAAATCGAATCGAATGCAGCAGCAAATCACACAATAAAATAATTGATTCCATTTCAAATGCAAAGGATAGCCGGGTGGCCATATGCGGGTCCTATCAGAAGGCCCGGAAACAGGACTGAGGACTCCGATTGCCGTCTGGTGCTGAGTACAACTTTATTTTCATTGTTTGCAGATTTAACATTTAACGCAACACAAACACGGAGCAGCCGAGTCAGCTCAACTTTGGCTCCGGGTTCAGCCTCCCCGAAGAAGGAGGCCTGCCAAGTATGGGGATATTTGTATGTGAGTAGGTCCTTCAATTAAGCATCCTTGTTGACCGCCTGCAGCAGTTCTTTGCGGGTCTTGCGGCGCATTCGAAGATTGGAGATCAACCGGACGGTGCAGAAGTAGACCAGCTCCACGATACTCAGCATGGACACGCCCATGAAGAGGCCGAGCAAACCTCCACAGTTGGCAAGGAAGTCCGTGGTACCGTAGAGCTCGGAGCGCCGTGAAGTCAGGAACTGAGCCTCCTTGAAGAATATAGACACGCGGGACATTTTCATTCTGTGAATATAAGATAGTAACTATAGAGAGTTAGAGAAATAGAGCTAGAGACCTACCCCTCTCTTTTGGCCTGCTCCTCCTTGCCTTCGGGCGTGTCCTGGTTGATCACCGACTTGTAGTCAAAGTCCGCCTGGGAGATCTCCGCCTCGTAGGCAATCGAGGTACAGGACGGCAGGCAGTTGCACTCCGTCTCCCCGCGACTATTCTCCCCAGAGCTGGCCAATCCCTGGTTGAATTCCCTGAGCAGCAGTTCGTCCTCCGCCTGGTTGTAGCACTTCAAGCTGGCAGCTCCACAAACGGGCATATTCACATTGCCTAAAATTTATGTAATTAGCTGAGTCCCGGAGGGAGTACCCATGGGAACTTACGGGGCATGGAGAACTTGACGCAGCCGCACTTGGCCAAAGTGAAATTGGCCAGGCACTCCAGCTCGCAGTTACTCTGGGAATAGATATTGAAATAACGTAGATCCCGCTCCTTCTGGAAGTAGCACTGACGGCGATTGGGTTCGTAGTGTTTCAGGCCATCGGAGGTGGTGATGATTTTGGGGCGAATGGATATGAGAACTTCTTGGTCGAAGGGGATACGGAAGTATTGCTTCGACACTTGGGCTACATCTCCGGGGGTGTGTAATAGAATCTGAAAGATGGTTAACCTTCATACTTCCATAATGTCCTATAAAGACAGTAACCCACCTTGAAACCCTGTACAGGTCCTCGGCACATGTCATCAAAATCTATTTCCATGCCGCCCATAAAGAGATATAGACCAGCTCTGGCTCCAGGACCCAAAACCCGATTGGGATATGGTGAGGTATCCGCACTAGCGCTATAACCATCCTCCACATTCCAGTCCATGGATAAATGGTTCTCCTCTCGGAATATAAAATCGGGAATAATTCTATAAGGATAAGACATATGATATAAAGATTTATAGGACCTTCGAGACCTTACCCTTCTGCCCTGAAAATTTCCGCAGGACTCAGCGAGTTAAAGCTATAACACACTCCATCTTCCGTGACAAACTTGTGAAAGATTTCACTGCACTTCTTCTGGGTATTCCGCCACTTGCAATTCAAATATGTGTCATCGAATATGGGCGACACTTCCGTGAGGGCATCAATAATCTCCATGCCCTTCCTGGTGGCCTTGCCAAGCTCAACGTCATGCAGATGGGGCTCACAGACTTGGGTCACAGCTCCATAGATTTCTTTTCTGGGAAAGCCGACAAATATACAGAAACCTCCTCAATAGAACTGGATACCCAAACTTACTGCCTCTCGGTGAGATCCAAAATTCCGCTGACGTTGTTGGCGAAATCCCGGACCTGGTGATACGAATCCGTAAAGTTGAAGAGCGAACGACGGGTTTTCGTTTCCGGACACACTGTTACTGCCGGAAAGGGGATCTGCCACACGGGTGTGGACTTTTCTGCGAAACTGACAATCACCGGGTTGTTGTTCCACTTGTCCCAAATATTGAGGGTCAGTTTGACGCACGTAAAGATCGAGAGGACGAGGACGGATATCCAGAAGAGACGCTCGAGAATGGGGCGCTTCTTCTCGCCCAAATACCGGATGCCGTGGATGGTCGTGTAGTCACAGTACTCGTGGATGATGGCCTTGGCCGCCTGGAAGCCGCTGCCGTACTTGATCTGCTTCTTGGTGTCCACCTCGTCCTCGCTGTCGTCGGAGACGGTCTCGCGGAACGCTGGAGGCAGACGGGCCATTAGGGCGGCCCGCTTCCATTGGTTGGCGGCGCTAAGAGGCGCTGTAGGCAGGCGGACGGCCACCTCCTCGTCGCTCGGGTTGGGGGTGTGCGGCTGGGTGCTCTCGGTCGACATCCGGTCCGGCGTGCAGCAGATGCGTTGACTAAGTCAGCGGTGCGCACGCAAGACTCTGGCTTTTATACCCGCTATCGCCGAACCGGCGGGGTGCGGCTGCCCTGGGAGGTCCTGGCTAGTCCAAGCCCCCAAAGGATTCCGGCACGCATACCTTAAAATTCGTGGTACTGGCAAGGAGTCACGCCAGCAAGTACTGCGTTTTCGGTGGCGTTTCAATTACTTCATTTCGCTAAGCTGGCGTAATTTGCCAGCTCGCTCCCGGACCAGGAGTCCCTCTAGTCTCCGGTGGCCAGTGGTCCGGCTGCCTGGCTGCCCGTCTGCCCGCGTAATTGCCATCGCTGACCCATTGCCCGGCTAAATGTTACCTTTGAGCCTGACCTAGGCGAGGCATTCTAATTAGCCAGTGCGCACTTTAAGCTCGCCCCGCCCCACGTCGAAAAAACAGCGGAAACCGGAAACCCACATCTGAAACTGGCCTTCCCAAAACGGCGAAAAAAATAAGCGGCAGATTGAAAAGGCAACTTCTCGTGGCTCCAGCCAGGCTTATGCATTTTAAATCCCAGTCGCCACTCGACGCCATTTGGCTGCAGGCGCTTAACTCGACCCCCAAACAAAATGCCACACGGCTGCAGACGGCGACAATGTCGAGCCGAATCCTGGGGTAAACTTTGTGCCGCAACAACAAGGAACTCGATTGCCACATATAGATGGCTAACGAATAGGGGATACTCTATATCTAGAACTCTCTATAAGGCCTGTATACTTCCCTCGCAAATGATTCAAGAAAATAGCCATACCCTTCGGCTAGAGTCCTGCAAACCACCGTAATGTCCAGCGGCAAGGACATCGGCATCACCACAAAACACGATGCGACCATTTTGGATGCGCATTTTAATAAAGTTAACAGCAAGTCGGGCATTGTGTCTAAATTTTGGAGGGCTCCAGGCCAGCCAGGACACCCTTTAAACTTAGACCCCTTTGTTGGGACTTTTCATTATTGTGACGTGGGGCCACCATTGTCCTTGCACTCAGTGTTACCTGTTTTTCCTTTTTCCCGGGCCGTAAACATTTACACACTACTCCGGCGTCTACTCCGGTCTGGAGTCTGGAAATTGTCATTTATTTTAATGAGCTGCGAAATAGAATTTCTGATGTGTCTTTCAGGGTCCAAAACTTTCCCATTCCTCCCAAAAAAATAATAAAAAAAAACACTAATTTAATATAGTTCTGTATATATAATATATAGTATATTTTTGGTATTCTGGTTTTGCATAATACATTTATTTGTTTTATACGCTTTAGCTGGAGGACATTGAATTGAATGTTGTTACTGTTTACAAGTTATTTGGTTGGTAAGTACATAATAATACGTTTATTGATTATCCTATTTACATACGATGCTACTTTTGATATAGTTTATTACAGAGTACAGTTGCTATTAATTATTACGCATATTTGATTATGATTCTAGTATATCCGAATTTGTTTTTGAAACACCTGTTGTCACTATACTACTTTTGATATACACTTTTCGTGGTGTTATTTCTGTTCTGTATCTACGATTTAATAATTTTCTTCTCATTCCATAAATTATATAGAAAATATAAAATTCGTTTGCCAGACCACAAGTGCCTGGGCATTAACAATGATCTTATAATTCCGTAATTTGTATCCATTTGGTATTAACTATATACAAAGCTCGATTACCGTGTTCCATAGACCATACTCCACAGACGATGACAGTTTAAGCTTCTCATAATTTTACCTATACGTTCACTTATGCAGTTTTCAAATTCAAAAATATTCATTTTAAACATTCTCGTTTCAAACGCTCAACCCAACAACACAAAAACCAGAAAACAGAAACACCAAAGGCAATTACTAAATTACACACTTGCATTAATACATTACATGACTTTAATATGGCTTTAATATATATTTTTATATCGTAGCTCGTATGTCATATCTAGAGCTAGTTTAAAATGATATGTTTGTGGTAATTTACGTTATTCAATTTCCCATCTCCCTGTTAGTTCCCCTCCAAGGTTAGTCTGTTATAAAAATACTGAAGAAATTGCACTTGTTTCGGATACCGATCCCACAAGCCACCCTCACTGGACCCTCCGGGGCTTTGACCTATTGGGGGGCCAGGGCCAGGCCCAAGCTATTGGTCATCAGGCTCAAGGAGCTGGCAGTGGCTGAAGTAGTTGGTCCTGAAGTCTCCTGGAAGAGTGAGAAATAATATAATAAAATAAACATAAATGAGAATATTAAATTATATATTTTTTATGTTAAGTCTCCATACTCACAATGCTTAGAGTGCGCATAATACAGGCCCTGGTGGCTGGCGGCTCATCCGCCTCCAGTCCTGGCGAGCTGCCCCTCGAGGACACAGATCCATTCAGCAGCTTCACATTCATCTCATCCGAGTGGTGCGTCTGCTGAGAACTACTCGACATCCTCCCATCCAAGGACAGATCATCCCGGTGCTGATCCTGCAAAGCAAAATATATAATACTTCCTTCTTAGTATTTAGAATAATAACCCACATCCTTGGGACTGGCACTAGGACTGAACTTTATGTCCAGACTTTCCATGTCGCCGTTTTCCACCGATCCTGCTGCCACAATTCCCTCTGGCGACATGTGCCCATTGTTGTTGCTGACTTCCACATTGTTGTTGTTGCTGTTGGTGTTATTATTGTTGTTGCTAATCTTGTTATTGTTATTGTTATTGGGCTCCTTGTTAAGTGTTGACGAGGCTGGCATCTGCTTTGTATTTGTGGCAGCCTCATCAGCAACAATCGTTGCATGTCCATTCTCCACGATGCCAGTTGCCATGCCATTGTTGCTGCTGTTGTTGTTGTTGCTACTGGTGCAAGTGTTGCTGTTGTTGTTGTTGTTGCTGCTACTAGTGGACGCCTCATCGCCCAGCTCGTAAATGTTAACCATGTGCGCGGCTTGTGCGTGGACCATCAAATCCCAGGGATTGCCGAACGCATCCTTGCAAACGGCGCACAGCAATTTGGCGCTTGAAGGGGGCGTTTCTACACAGAAAAAAAAAGATACAAAATGTAACGAAAAATTAATATTAAAAGTAAGAATATTAAGATATTTATAAAGAGGAATATTAACCAAAAATGTGTAAAATAAATGGTCTAAAAAGCAAATTCAAACTTAACTATGTTCGATAGTTAAAGTTTCATCAAATCCTTCTCCTTTATTCCCTTTTTAAAATTAATATTCTATTGCTTATTTGATTATTCAAGAAACCTTATTATTACTAAAAATTTATAGCCATTTTTCCCCAGTGTATGTTCCCATAGATGTGTGAGTGAAGCATGCGAGAATTAATTAGTTATTTAAGTTGGAATTTGCAGAGGGCAGACGCTGGTTCCAGGACGCATAAATAACTCAATTTTAAATGCATTTACAAGCAGCCGCAGGCTCGGCCAAGGACATGAATTCACAGACATCCCCCTGTCGGGCAGGATAACCAGATGTTGCTGACTGTTGCAGGCCTGGCCCAGGACTCACTCACTCACACAGGACTCAGGACTCATCCGCAAATGCGCCTAAGACAAACACTTTTGCCTTTAGCCGGGGCAAAAAGTGTTTAACAATCATAAATTAATTGCCAACAGACAAGCTGCCACAAGGCAGCCAGCACCCAGCCACGCCCCTTACGCCGCCCATACTTACTTGCACTTGTAGCAAAGGCAACATCCTGGCACTTGCATGTGAACCTCAGTTTGCAATAACTTTTCTTGTGGTCCAATAACTCAGACAGCTCGCCAAAGCATTCCCGGCAATTGCCGCAGATTAATGTGTCCGGATTGCCTGAAAAAAATTGAAAAGGAGTAGGGTTTTAAAAACTTTGAATACTGGGTTAAATGGACATGAAATTTTTATTTAAATTATTTATAAATTGGATAACTTTTTCGCAAAAAATTGAGTACGAATCTCTCTTATTTTGCTTACTAATATCTTAAACTATGATTTATTTCAAATATCCCATACAAAATATATTTTAATATTAAATTAATATAAAAATTATTAATTAAACATTCCGGGAAAAAGATCTATTAGCTCTGAAGCTTGTGGGCCAGATCTTGAGCTCGGCTTCGAGCAATTCGCTTCTGTCCAACACCCTCCGATGCCTGGGGGCCTCATGCTCTGGCTCGTGTCTTCGCCTCTTAATGGAACTCTTGTAGCTTTGATCTTGAGCTTTACTTTCGGCCCTCTTGGCCCGATACTTAAGCAAGTTGGCTATGGCACTAATCCGCAGATCGGGCTGAATCGCATGCCGACCACTGCGACGAGGGCTGGGCTGCAGCAGCTTGGAGCCATTGATGTCATCGTTCTGGATATTCAGCGAGAAACTAATCACATTGGCGTTGGGTGACTTTGTGCAACAGGGCAACTTTTTGGTAGTGGCTTTCGTGGGTTTCTGGGTCGTGGCTTTGGTGGTCTTGACGTCTTGGGCTTTGGGGCTCGGAGCGCAGGTGGCTTTGGGCCCCGGTGTCGTGGCTTCTGCCGCTTTCGTGGTCGTCTCCGCTTTGTTCTTTACGTCCACCGATACTGACTCGGCCGGCGCGCTGGTTTCCGGAACACTTGCGGCAGTTGTGGTCTCCTCCGCACAGACATCCTTGCTGTCCGACTTGGCGAAGGCCATGTCCTGATGCAGTTGCTGCTGCTGCAGCTGCCGCTGTGAGAAAAACTCGGCCAATTGCTTCAGCAACTCAAACTGCTCCTGGGTGGGCACTGGCTCCGGGACCTCCGCCGCCGGCTTTACTGCCGTCGGAAGCGGTACAAACGGCGGCTGGAAAAGATGGGGGGCCGGGAATAGCTGGCTGGGACGATTCGATTTGACCTCATTCATCTGCGAGTGAACAAGGGGTCTGTAAGCTACCGGAGATGACCTCAGATTGGCGATGTTTTCAACCTGAACCATGTTCTGCGGCGACTGCTGGGACGGCTGCGGCTGCTGCTCCTGTGGCTGCTCCTGAGGCTGCCCCTGCGGCTGCAACTCGGCGGCTGGTTGCATTTGGAGACCCTGCTCGCTCGTCTGCGGCGTGTACTTCATCCCAGCCACCGGAGACTCATTCTCCTGATTAGCAAGGGCTCCGTAACCGAAAGCCTTTTTGGACAGCATACTGCCCTTCAGGCTGAGCACTCCGTTGACATAGTCCACCGGCAAACGCTGTTGCACTGGATTCGGCTCGAGCATCTGCATTGGGATCCCTTGTTGTGGCGCGGACATCATCGGCTGAGAAAACTGTTGTTGCTGTGCAGGCTGCATCGGCGGGGCCTGCTGCTGCCCGTGGACACTACCCGGAATGATTGAGACGGTTAGGAGGACAAGGAGAATCGGGCCAAGTGGCTCACGTTGACACATTTCTCATTTTCAGAGACCTTCTTGTCAGGCAGCAGCATTTTTGACAAGTCTCTAAAAGATAACTCATCCGGAAAGCTTCATACTACATCTATAAGGACATACGTTCAAGTATTTCCTTTTCCTACCACTACCACTATGGACCTCAGTAATGGCTATATGTTCCCCAATTCTCATCTGATTCTCAAGCGGAGTACCTTAAAGGATTTCTGGATCGATTTGCCACCATTCTGCATCAAAATCCTGAGACAAAATATTTTTTAGATTTTTTGTCCATTTTTCCTGATGGGATCACTTGAAAATGGGGTTTTCGCCTATATGGCCCACAGAGATCGGTATATCTTCTCCAATTCTCATCCGATTCTCAAGCGGAGTACTTTTAACAATTTCTGGAACGATTTGCCACAATTCTGCATCAAAATCCTGCGATAAAATATTTTTAAATTTTTTGTCCATTTTTCCTGATGGGATCACTTGAAAATGGGGTTTTCGCCTATATGGCCCACAGAGATCGGTATATCTTCCCCAATTCTCATCCGATTCTCAAGCGGAGTACCTTAAACGATTTCTGGGTCGATTTGCCACCATTCTGCATCAAAATCCTGAGACAAAATATTTTTTAGATTTTTTGTCCATTTTTCCTGGTGGGATCCCTTGAAAATGGGGTTTTCGCCTATATGGCTCACAGAGATCGGTATATCTTCCCCAATTCTCATCCGATTCTCAAGCGGAGTACCTTAAACGATTTCTGGATCGATTTGCCGCAATTCTGCATCAAAATCCTGAGATAAAATATTTTTTAAATTTTTTGTCCATTTTTCCTGATGGGATCCCTTGAAAATGGGGTTTTCGCCTATATGGCCTACAGAGATCGGTATATCTTCTCCAATTCTCATCCGATTCTCAAGCGGAGTACTTTTAACGATTTCTGGAACAATTTGCCACAATTCTGCATCAAAATCCAGAGATAAAATATTTTTTAAATTTTTTGTCCATTTTTCCTGATGGGATCACTTAAAAATGGGGTTTTCGCCTATATGGCCCACAGAGATCGGTATATCTTCTCCAATTCCCATCCGATTCTCAAGCGGAGTACCTTAAACGATTTCTGGGTCGATTTGCCACCATTCTGCATCAAAATCCTGAGACAAAATATTTTTTAGATTTTTTTTCTATTTTTCGTGAGGGATACCTTGAAAATGGGGTTTTCCCCTATAGGGCCCACAGTGATTGCTATATCTTCCCCAATTCTTATCCGTTTCTCAAGAGGAGTACCTTAAACGATTTCTGGATCGATTTGCCACCATTCTGCATCAAAATCCTGAGACAAAATATTTTTTAGATTTTTTGTCCACTTTTCGTGAGGGATACCTTGAAAATGGGGTTTTCCCCTATAGGGCCCACAGTGATGGCTATATCTTTCCCAAGTCTCATCCGATTCTCAAGCGGAGTACCTTGAACGATTTCTGGATCGATTTGCCACCATTCTGCATTAAAATCTTGATACAAAATATTTTTTAGATTTTTTGTTCATTTTTCGTGAGGGATCCCTTGAAAATGGGGTTTTCCCCTATATGGCCCACAGTGAAGGCTATATCTTCCCCAAGTCTCATCCGATTTTCAAGCGGAGTACCTTAACCGGTTTCTGGATCGATTTGCCACCATTCGTTTATTGCGTTGCTCACTTTTGACCAAAATTATAATAATCTCTGCAAGGGTATAAATATCCCCAAGGATTCTCCAAAAATACACAAAATAAATTCAAGTCAATACTCACTGTAGACTTTGAAAGGTCCCCAGTGCTGATGCGAAGTTAATTGCTCCTGTTGCTGCTGCTGCTGCTGTTGATGTTGCTGCTGCTGATGTTGCTGCTGATTCTGCTGCTGATGCTGTTGATGTTGCTGCATCAATTGGCTGTGCAATTGTAGTGGCGTCGCCGCCTGATGAGGCTGCGGTTGTTGTGGCGACAATGCCAGAGTCAACGGTTGTAGCAACGGTTGCTGCTGATGTTGCTGTTGTTGCTGCTGCTGTTGCTGCTGCTGCTGCTGCTGATGTTGCTGATGAGCAGCAGCAGCAGCGTAGTACGGCTCACCGAGCGTCGTTTGATTAGCAATTATAGCTGACTTTGCATTCTGCGGCGATGTCGTTGACTGGACAGCCACCACGTTACTCTTCAGTTGGAATCCGAACTGTTGCTGCTGCTGTTGCTGCGGATGCGAGTGGGGATGCTGCGGATGTGGGTGGTGGGCAGCAGCCAGCGGCTCCTGTTTGTATTGCGGCCAGTGGAGGGATCCCGACCCCGCCGTCGTGGTGGCTGATAGCAGATTCTGCTGATGCAGCAGCAGCTGCTGTTGTGGCAACAAATTGGCCATCGCCGCCATGGCGACGGCAGCCACCTGCTGCTGTTGTTGCTGTTGGTGTTGCTGCTGCACCTGGGCCGCCTGCTGCTGCTGCTGGTGGACGGCAGCTGCCGCTGCTGCAGCCACCGCAGCCGCACTGTGATGGTGTTGGCCGTGCTGTTGTTGCTGCTGCACAGCCACTGCCAGACCGCCGCCGTTGGTCATTAGACGCTTTCGCTTTTTGGCTCGAACTGCGTTTGCCCCACCACCACCACCTCCGCCCCGCAGCAAGGCCGAAGAGCAGTAGCTGTCGTAGAAATAGTCCCTGCAAGGATTTGAATTAAATGGGGTGTTGTGAGAGTCATTATAAAATAATTTTAATATTTTCCAAAAGCTATTTAAGCTTTTACTTTTATTCTAAAGATAAAAACCTTCTTAAAATAAATATTAAGTAAAATTGTAGCCCATATTTTTAAACCAAATTTAGAGTACATTTTGTATTACACATTATAATACCATTCCTCCTAAAAACTAAAAACCTCTTAGGAAAAAATCCCCTTTCCATGACCCACCTCTCATTAACTGCAAATGCACAGCCTGCCAACTGTTGCCTGTCCTTCCACGTCGACCTGCCAGTCCTTCAGTCAGTCAGTCATTTTCCTCCCCCCAGTCAGGACATCAATATGTCAATATTTGTTTAGGCTGCCATTTCTGCCGTTTGAATTGTCGTTTGGCCACTGTGTTTTTGGGCCTCCCGTCGGGCTGTGTTGCCAGTGATTGATACAAATGCCGAAGCCGGCCAGAAGCCAACCAATTGTGGTCAGAAGAGTGTTTTGGAAAGGGGGCGTGGTGCAACAATTGTGGCTTTTTCGGTCAGTTTGGCTCTGTATGTGAAGGGAAGGGTCGGGCTGGCAGGATGCCGGTATGCCAGGTGGGGTTGCCATTTAATGGCAAACACGAGGGCACCTGAAATCAAAAGGTTTGGGCACCAAGGTGTATGGTCTGTGACATGTTTGCGTTTTAATTACAATCAAGTCGTTGTCAGTTGGACCTCCCAGACTCCATCGGGATGTCCTTTTTAAAGCCTCAACGCATTTCGCTTCGGCGTCATTAAGCTTAAATTAAATATTTCCACACGAGTGCCGAGTCTGGAGCTCAAGGCCCAAATAAATTGTGAACGTCGCTCAGTCATCATTAAGGCCGCGCCACGACAAAGACAAACAAGTGCACATGTCAGCGGCAGGACGACGGCAGGACATAATGGCATACATTGCAACTGTCACTCACAGGACACGGGGAACAGAGAGCTGCTGGCTGCGAACAGCGGACGGCGAACTACGAACTGCGAACTGCCAGTGTGTTGACGCAGCACTCGAACACTCGCGTTAAACTGACCTCTCTTATCACATAAAAAAAATAGTTGAAGATTTGATATAAAATATAAAAAAATATATTAGTTGTTAGAAGAAACTTGTAAGAATATTTTAAGGGGTTAGCTTTATTCCTAAGCTTCTGAATAAGAAGAAAACAAATATGTAAGTTTTTTTTCAAATTTTGACAAAGAGAACGTACAAATAATTATTTAATATAGTTTCTATTATCAATAGAAGTTAATAAATTATACAATTATATGATAATTTTTTTTCCGTGCATTAAAGTGGACAACTGGAGAAATGGAGACGAGAACTTGGCCCAAAAGTATTTCGGCTGTGAACAAAAAACCCGGCTAGCCGTTGACAGCCCAAATATTTTATGCCGGACGGGCGTTGAAACAAAGGGCGCCCCCATCGTCTGATGAATGGTTTCTTATTTATTTATTTATTTGTGCCACAACCGCCCTACCACCTCCCCCAGACAAAGCCCAGCCAACCCACAGAGTCAAGCCGTTAAATGATATGTAAATAAAGTGTAAGTGAATGCCACATGGCGGCATTAAATTGACCAAAGTAAACTTTTAGATTAAATTAAAATGAGGCCCAAAAATTGAGTCTGCTTCCAGATGGGAGGCCTCTTGGAGGACTAAACTCACCAATCGTTTCCGGTCTTGCTCACATTCTGGCGTTTCCTTCCAATTTGATGGGCCTTCGGCTCAGCCACCATGTTGACATCTGCAATTTAGAATGTGGAATGGTAAGTTCTTAATAATAAAAGGCAATCTGCTTTTTTTGGAATCAAACAAATAAATACGCCCAAATACAGGACTCTTTGAAGTCATTGTCTGGACAGAGTACAGAGTACAATAAAGCCGAAAAGACAATGGACAGCAGCCCTTTTGCATTTGGGACTTTATTATTATTCCTTTCATTATGCAAATGAATGGACGACGAGCTGTGAGTGATTAAAAATGTTTCTTTCTTCTACGTGCATGTCCATCGGCGAAATGCATTCCTCGAGTAACTCAATCCGGCTGACCCCCCAATCATTAATCTTAATAAAAGTGCGCCAAAGCCAGAATATACATTTTCGGTTCTGGTTTGTGGATAAAAAACAATGGTAAATGGAATAGTCGAAAGGGTATTACACTTTAGAGCTCATTCCTTTTAAAATTAATAATTATTGCATGGAAGGACCTATAGTATCCATAAGTACGATCTTTTATTTTAAACCTATAACTAAATCTATTTCTTTATTTTAAAGAGTATACAAATACTTTCCATAAAAATCAAATCTGCATATCGTTCTCCTTTGAAAAGGGTGCGACAGAGGCTGGATTTTTTTGTACGAATATCTATCCAAAGGATGGCAAGGACTACAGGAAGGGGTTCTCATTCGCAGCCCCGGCTGCTCGTTCATCATAATTCATGACAAAGTTTGAAGTGCGACGGCTACACCACCACGGGAGGCCTTCCAAGGCGGCAGGATAAGCTAAATTCGGAGGAAGGAAGATCCTGCGAATGTTCCCATAACTACAAATTGGTGGGCGATGGCGGAGAAAAAAACAAAATTACAGAAATGGAGGCGTGATGGCTTTTCCAGCTGCTTTACTTCAGACATTACTTTTTTTTGTTGTTTTTATTTTCCATTTTCCCCCACTCTGCTCGGCTGTCCGACTGCTCGGCTGGCAGGCTATAATTAAGATTAAGGATAAAAGCTAAGAAGGATTTTCATCTCTTTATTTTTTTTTCATTCCACTGCAAAGCGGTTTAGTTGGCCAGGCCGCATTCCTCCGCACTTCAAAGTCAATGGCGCGTAGCAATGAAATATTACGGCGACCACTCGACTTTTCTTCTCGTTTCTAATCAGTGGAATTAGCCATCCACATTTAACATTCTGCATTTGCATAAGCAGACGGAGACTGTAGAGCTTTTCTTACGATTTCCGTTGAATACTTTTCATTTTCCCCGCGGCGGCATACTGTGAAGGGGGGCGTATGAATATGAAGTATCCGCCCTGTTGCCGCCAGCAGCAGAAAAAGCAACAGAAGAATCATCATCTTCATCAGCTGACACAGCGCGCTAAGTGCATTAAGTTGTTTCTCCACACGAGACATGCACTGACAAAGAGTGCAGTGTGCACTGAGAGAATATATAATAGAAATCAAAGCCACTTCAAAAAAATGAAGTAAACTACGAATTTTAGTGTCAAAATTCTGCTTAGACCGTTTTTTTGGGAGGTTATAAAATTTTAATTAGTACTTTACTCTTATCTCAGTATTCAATTAAAACTTGTTTCTTTTTTTCTCTGTGTAACAATATAAAAGAATTTCTCAAAGCAGTCAACCTGGCAGCTGCAACTGGCGTTGAATTATTTCATTAAACGCTGAAATTACCAAACAGTCGACTCTCGCCTGTCAGATAGTCAACAAAAACTAAAAAAGAAGAGGCACACAGACAGTCAGAGAGTCAGACTGACTGCCGACTGCCTGGCATAACATTGAAATTTCATTAAAAGTATCGTGCCAGGATTTATGTCGGCCGCACTTTAAGTTTTTGCGGCCGGCAGCCGACTTCCGAAATACTCAGACATTAGTCGACGGTGGGTGTCTAAGATATGGCCACTACACATGCCAGGCTGGAGGCTCCTTCATTACAATTGCCCTACTATGTGAGCCAGGACATCCCATCCGCACCTCCGAAGCCAACTCGCCGTCTTTGTGGCTTTTTTAGCGCGTTTGTTCGATTTTAGTGCAACGCTTCCGCTGCCAGCGGCCATTAACCTGACGATCCCGGCTCAGGACGGCGGAGTATCCATGGACATGCAACTGCAGAAAGGACGAGGGTTAAGGTCTGGAATGTCTATGCAAAGCAGTTGCCTTCGCGGTGGTGAACTTTAAAGCAGACTTTGCGGCTTGCAAAAGATTTTACTGATTTTTTTTAAGGATTTAAGGACTTTAGATTGTAATAATTATTTAAGCCCTTTAAATCAGTTTCTAAAAAAGACATAACCATAAATAAATAAATATTAAATCCACTCACCTAAGGTCTGACTAAGGACCGTCTTCCCATCCTCGCCGTGGCAGGCATTGCGGGCATCGAACGGGTTGGTGAACTGCACAAAGGCATAGCCCTTATGCATGGATATGCCTGCGGGTACAGCAACAAGGAACAAGGAAACAGGACATGTGAGTAAGCGTTCTAAATGGAAAGGATTCTGGGATGTGACAATATGACTTACCCGCCAGGCGGCCATAGATCTGAAACATGCGCTCCACGTCCGTTTTGGAGCATTGAAAGGTATTCAGATTGCCGACAAAGATGCGCGAGTTGACCGCCTGCGGATCCTGCGAGTTGGTCTGGTTGGACAGCTTTGACAGCTTCATGATGGCCGCAGGACCTTCCAAGGTTGTCGATGAGGGCAATGGAATGGGCACCGGCGCACCACCGGCGCACGTGTGTCCAAAGTACAAGAACGCAATCCTGGCGAAGGCAAATCCCGGCGAACGTCCTTATTGTCCTTACCGCTGCTTTTGCTTTTTGCTCTTGTTGTTATTGTCCTTTTTTGTTGTACTGATTGTTGCCCGTTGATTGTTTTTGTGGCTTAGACGGGGCTTTTGTCGAGGGCTTTGTTTGTGTACGCAGCTCCTGCAGCTTATTGCATTTGCAGTCGGATTTCGTCCTTTTCGTCCAGCCAGCCCCCCGGAGTCCAGCCCAGAGTCGCAGCCGCTGATTTTTCACTTTTTTAACGAATCCAAATCTGTGAGCCGCCGCAGATTGTCCAGTTTTCGTTCGGAAATCTGTAAAATAAAAAGAAAAACGCACCGCATGCAATTCACAATAAATAAAAATCACATTCGCTTTTGTTCTTCATTTCAGTTGTTGTTTGTCAACGGGCTTAAATATCAAATGGGATATCATTGGGCGTATCGGTTGCTTTCAGCCTGTTTGTATTTCATTTATATACGCATTCGAGTATATCCCGATAGGATACGTTGTTTTCGAGGATTTTTATCTTACGGACAGGCAATTAAAATGCAAAAATGCCTTTATAATTGAAATCAACTTTTTCAACGGTTCTGTTAATACTTTAATCTACTTAAAAAAGGTTAAAAGATCGAAGGTCCTGTTTGAAATGCAACACTTTTTGATTAATCAAAGAAATTTTCCGTTTCCGGTTTGCTCTTCGTATCTGGTCACACTATCCTTCACAAAATGTCAGCCAAATAGCCATTTACTGTTATAAACATGTTTATGCTTTTAATTTCCTTAAACAACTGCTTAATTGTTTTCCTTTATTAAATAATAAACAGATAACTAAACACACAGGATGCTTAAGGATATTTCCTGTCCTGTCCCTTCATATTTATGTTCGTTTGCTTTTACTGGAAACATGTTTGAGCTTGTTATTAAATTAAATAACTTTCAAATGGCTTACACATACGACTCATGCCAGAACACGCCCCGTTTGGCAGCCATTAGCCGCCTCCTTTATTCACAGGATACAGGACGAGAGAAAAGGAGGTGGCGAAGCAGCAACAACAAAGAAACTTTGCTTCCATGTAAGAGTGAAAAATTAAGCGTTTTTATTGCCGCACTCTGCCGCCTGCCTCCTGCCTCTTGCCACGGCCTCACTTTCGCGCCAGGACCTCGCCACCTACGTGGCACCATGTGTATTAAATGTATGCGGGTGTGTGGCTCTTTTGCATAGCGTGTATGTGTGTGAGGTATTAAAATGTACAAAAGACTTGCATGAAATAAAAATAAAACATGCAGCAATAAAAGTAAAATACTCTTGTACTAGCAAATTGTTAATGTGATTTTTATGCAATCCCCATTCTATGGAATTTATTGCGAATTTATGGCCGCGTCAGATGGTGTTAATTGTGAAAGCTTTTCCATGATATCCCTAGCAGGATATCGAATTGTATACCAATATCAGTTAATAGTTTACAAGGACTTTCAACAAAAAAAACCAAACTCCTATCACATTTTAGCCCATTTTTCCACATTGTGTAGATGATTCGCATTGATCGGTATCTGTAGTGGAGTTTCCCCATCAGTTTTATTAAAACCGCTTTCGCATTGTTTGGCATAAATCAAACAGAAAAAAAGCAGAAGCGTAGAGCAGAAAAGGAGTCAGAAGGATTCAGATTCAGATTCAGATGGAGTGTTGGGATATTCATGGCTTTGGGTTGCATTGTGCGCCAGTTATGAGTGAAAGGCTCTTTATTTATTATAATGGCATTCCTGCCTGCCTGCCTGCCTGCCTGCCTGCCAGTCGTCTGGTGGTTTACCATCTCCATTCATTCACCCATTCAGGCATTCATTCACCCATTCAACGGTTTCTATTTTTGTGTCGCATTGTCCTTGCAAATGAAGGAACAACGCCGATGGCAACTACACGGGAAACAAATGCTAAAGATGTCTCGAGCTGATATGTTTCAGAGCTGCTGGGATATAGAAATGACATGGAAGCAGATGGAAATCAGTAAACATACTTTATACTCCTTTAAAAAAAAGGTCCTTTGAAAAAGTAAACAAGGACAATATGATACCCAGTACTTCTCAAAATATTTAACTTTTTTTATAGAAAAATCCCAGTGTAGAATGACACCAAAAAGTGTAACAATCTTCCCTAAACCGATACGGAATATCCTTTTGAATATGCAACACTTTTCGTGGCCTACTTTTCGGTCCCGACGGCATTTTAATGAACAAAACTTTAATTAAAGCAATAACAATACCGCTAAAGACTTTAAGCTTCTTCTGTCAACAGATGGCCAGGTCCTTCAGCTTAAGGATGTGTGTGTAAATAACACTTCTTGAAAGCCAGCAAGTGGTTAGTTAACTTGGCTTAATTATAATTAACTGCACTACCAACCACGACGACAGTCCAAGTTCAACCGCTAGAAATTGTGCAGGAAATTGCCGCAATTTTCTCTTCTCTCTACTAGGTACTAGGACTTCCCTTTCAAAGCCAGGAGAGTTTTCCTTAGGCCCAGGACAAAGGCTGCTGCTAGTGCCAGGGACTGCACTTTTATTTTCCAGACGCCTGGGCGTAAAAGTAAATTAAGACGCTTCGTGGCAAGTAAGTAAAAGTCGAAACCGGAAAAAAGTTCAAAATGCCAGCACAGGGGAGTCTCTCCAGCCTCTAGACTCCTTTTTTTAGGGCTTGCACATGTGAGTTGAACTTTGTAATTGAGTGAAGAAAACGCACACAAACATTGGAGAAGGAGTCGGGATAAGTCGGCTGGGAAATGCTCTATCAAGAAGCCATTAAAGAAATCTATAATAATAGGGATTTGAATTTTTAAAAATATTTCTATTTTTTTACCACTTTTCTTTTTCCAAATTAAATATAATTTTTAATCAATTCATCAAATTAATCAAATTTAAATCAAATCACCTAGTCCAGTTAATAAACTTTTCAACAAAATCCTTTAATTACTTTTGCCGCATCCGTTTTCGGATTCGAAACCCTAATGCCTCTTATTGTCTACGGCTTAAAGTCAACGACTTTGTGGACTACTTTTCCCCCCAATTTTTTTCCTTTTTGTATTATTTTTATTTCATTTTCTGGAACTCTCTGGTTAAAGCGTTTTGATGGGACCTCGTCGTGCTATAAATAATTCAGAATACCATTAAGCCAGAATGCCGGAGCTGTTGAAGAGTCAACGATGCGACGAGGTGACACTACTGGCCAGGATTATCGGAGGCGAGCGATCAAATGTCAAAGGACACATTTCGTCACCACGCCTGTTGCTATTTACTGCCTACGAGCTGAGGAGGGGTGATGATGGCACATATCATCTTGTGTTTTCTTTTCCCATCTATCCATATGTTTATATGGCGGACAACTTTTCATTTCAAATTGCTTGGGGGGTTGGATCTGAAAAGGGGATGGGGCTACCCTAATAGCCCAGCGCAAAAAATGAATAGACGTCGTGGCCCATTGAAAGCCGAAAAGTCAACAAAGCTAGTACTAGGGAGGAGGATAGACCTCACCGATTCGTGCCACATAGAGCGACAAATAACCCCAATTGAATGGGTTGCCAGCAGGTAAGAAAAAAAAACAGAAGAAAGAATGGGGGGTTGGGGCTGGAATGATGATGATGCCATGTGTGTATTGACAAGCCCGCAAACAACTTTATTCATAAGCAGTCAAATAGGACGAAGTCGGGCCAGGATATGGCAGACAACCAGACCCGCAGACGTGACCCCAGCCAAGCCAAACAGAATCCGAGAGACTTTGGCCAGGCATATGCAAACACTGGGAGAAATAGTTGAACAAAAATTTAAAAAATTACTGAAGAGAGAGAAAATAACATTTTAATTTTGGTTTCTGTTAAAACTAATCAAAGCTACTTATTAAACTTTTTAAAAATTATATAAGAATTATGTGTTCTTTTTCTCTTAGTGTCTTAACATGTGCCCAGATATGTATGACTTCACGTCTGCTGGCGATAACTCTACGGAGTTTATAGAGCTCGGACCAGACCTGACTCGCACAGGATCTTAATACCAGCAGCAGGACATGGAATTCATACTCCGAACAGGCTGCAGAGTTTAAAATTCCGCAAACGAACTCGAACATTGTCGATAAGCGGCGAACGTGTCATTATTGTTTGTTGTTAATTTTATAATAAAGTGCAAAAACAAAAACAAGAGCTTCGAAAAATAAAATAGAAGTGCAACAAATATTTTAATATATTTATTTACAGACGTATTAAGTGCCAACTATTTGCATAAATAACAAGAAATTAATAACAAACACTCGGCGCCATGGCAGCGGCCGCACAAAAGTTAATAATTGCCGCATGTCAACAGGCGGTGGTGGTGCAACGGCTGGATGTGTGTTGAAAGTGGGTGGAAAATGGGCTAAAAGTGGGTGGAAAATTGGTTGCAAAATGCGCTTGACATGTGGCCCACATATATAAATGAAAAATATCCAAACAGAAATGGCGAAAATGAAAACGGGGAAGGCTGAAGCTGGAAATACCATTTTATCACTTGACAGTAAATGCGTTTTATTGCGTTGCTCATTAAATAAATTAAATTTGCAAACGAACGCAGCAGAAGCGGAATTGTGAAAAATCGAAAAAGTATTTAAACAATTAATTCGGCAAGAAATGCTGCCCTTTAAAGGTAAAAAAATAAAAACATGTTGATTGTTTCGATTTTAATTGCTGTTATTGAAAACAGCAGGGATATTTTTATGATTTTTAAGGAAAATAGTTAACTGCTTTTAATTAAATTCATACATAACAATAAATAAAGTGTTGACGAATAATATTTAGTTGTATTTATTCAACCATAAGGGTATATATTTTAAAGATGAAATATCTAACCTGTAACCTGTTTTGTTATGCAGCCCTGTATTCCCTCCAAAAAGTATGCTATACATTTTGTAAAACCCACATCCCTCTTCTAACTGAATGTTTTGAAATGTTTCATTTGTAAAATAATATAATGCGATTTAAGGATATTATATGTATCCGCACTTCACGCCGCGTTAAAGTGTTTAAATTTATTGTTATTGTAGCCTCGGTTCGCAGTTGCATTATTTGTTTTATTTGGCTCTTTTCGGTTCAGACTGCGGTTCTTTAGCCTGCATTCATTCATTATCGCCAGTCGCTGTATGTATATACCCCATATGGTATACGTGTTTGGTTGTGCGAGTGTGTCCGTCTGGTGTGGCAATAAAAATGGCTTGAATATTTTTCAGTTTGTTATGCATTTCTCTGCCACTTGGGCAGCAACAACAATTATGAATAACTCGCCCGGCATAATGGCCTGCAAGCTACTCCCATGTGTAATGTGTGTGTGAGAGTGAGTCCTGGATCGATTACAAGGGGTGTGAGTTATTGGAGGATATATATATCACTTCGGCAATTACGTGGCATGCCAGAGACCAGGAAAAAGGGACTGAAACTCAACTGACGTTGCGACAGTAATCAAATAATTGTTGCACTCGCTGTCATACGAATATCTCTTTTGCTTTAATTATTTGCACAGTTTTCCATTCTGTAATGGACACGTCGTAATAAGGATTTGCCAAGGATTACCACCAGGACTATTTATATTCCTCTTGAGCTATACATGTTTGTTTTTCTGCTTTTACTAATTAGTATATACTTTATCCTTTAACATTTTTTAAAGAAAAAATATACATTTAACATTCGAATTGAAATCGAAACCAAAATCGAATGATTCACCCTTGTATTCACATAAACAGAAACATTTATTCCACTTGAACGGACTTCATTGGCAATTTAATTGTTGCAGATTTTTTTACAATAAATTCCATTATGGACTTTTTGAAAATGTTTATTATTGAAATGCCAGCCAAACAGGATGGCTTTTGTATTCTGTATTCAGATTGCTGAAGAGCGAATTTAGTGGCGTCTATTTAATTATCCAATTACAGAGGCGCGAGAAATTAACTTAAATGGTCAGAATATTCGCCATCGTCAGCGCTTTAAACAGGAAATCGTCCAAACGGGGCGTGGCAATGGTGGGCAATCGTGGGTGTAGGTGTGGGCGTGGGCGGAAGCCAAAAACCTAAACACAAACGGCTGGATATTCGGAGCTATCGCTTTTTGGCTGAATGCGGATGCGAATTGGGTTCTGTTTTTCGGTTTTATGTTGTCGATATTTTGCACTGTTTGCTGGGTTTGTTATTCCTGTTCCCTTGGGCTTTTCGGTTTTTGGGTTTTTGGTTTTTGCCAACGCACACACATTTTTGTGGTTTAGTCCATTTAACCATTGTGCCACTGATGGGATTTAATATTTTTAAATTTTCAAAACAATAATATTTTTTTAAGCCATTATTGTTGCAACAAGTCTGGTGAAAATTGGTCCACACAAGCAAGAAACCACACCAGGGAAATTCATGGAAAATCAGCGCACAAATATAGAAAAATCTCTACAAAAACGACCAAAGCAAGGTCAGGTAAAGAGAGCGCTCTCCGTCTATATCTTTCTCTATATATTGGATCTTTGGATCTCTTTCGTTTGCTAACGTCACCAGCTGCGACCGGATGACTCATTACAAGTGGTGTGCCTAATTTTTCGAGAGGCTAGTGTAGCGCTTAATGGCTCTCGCTCTCTCCATGATCGTTGTGTGGGACAGAGTTGGTGCGATTTACTTGGCGAGAGAGCGCCATGGCGAAGTGTATTGGTGTGGGAGAGAGTATCTGTGTGAGATTGGCCCTCATACTGAAAAAAGCAAGTATGTTGGATATGTAAGGGGTTCTGGACTATAGGTATACCCATTAGAAACAGGTTTTTAAAATAAAATATAAAAATAAAAATATATTTTGTCTTTTATTGAATCTATTTATTTCTATATGATTATTGTATTTTAATATTATATTATTATAGCGATATATAACATAGATATCAATGGTGTTTGCGATCGTTGCCCTCCCAGAGACGGATATGTACAATCCCATATCGTCGAGTGAACCTAATATACCCCTTGCCTCTCAAAGTACCAGGTACTACCAGAGCACAAGCAACAACTGCCAACAGCAGCAGATATTTCCTTCACTAGTCGCGAAGATTTAACAGCGTTTGGGCGTGAGTTTCGTATCTGCTCTGGCAATCTGCAACAATCTTTATATGCGGGCTCAATTAATTTATAAAAAATTATAGAACAACTGGAGAAACGCGACGCCATCGTTCTGTCCACAGTTAAGCCCATAAATCAAGTCGAAAGAATTCTTCAAAAAACAACTAAACTCCAACTGCAATTTCCATTGCTCTCTGTGTAGGTGCGAATATCTTTGTATCTCGGAGTGTGTGTATTGGTGCGTGAGCAAATTATTGTATAATCGCCAAAAACAAAAAACTAAGAAAATAAAAATAAAAGTTTTGAGACGCCAACGCCATTGCCCATAAAAAGCAAGAACAACAAAATTAAAAACAATTTCGGAGAATAAATGTAAAACATCTGGAAGCAACTACTGAAATTGCACTGAAAACTAAACACACCTGCGGACATATCGAAAATATCTAAATACCTTTGAATCCTATAACTAAATACACTATATAACACCATGCAAGCCATCAAGTGTGTGGTCGTCGGAGACGGAGCGGTGGGTAAGACCTGCCTGCTGATCAGTTACACGACCAACGCCTTTCCCGGAGAGTACATACCCACTGTGTTCGATAACTACTCGGCCAACGTGATGGTGGATGCCAAGCCCATCAATCTGGGACTCTGGGATACCGCTGGGCAGGAGGACTACGATCGCCTCCGGCCGCTCTCCTATCCGCAGACGGACGTCTTCCTCATCTGCTTCTCGCTGGTGAATCCGGCCTCCTTTGAGAACGTCCGGGCCAAGTGGTTCCCCGAGGTGCGTCACCACTGCCCCAGTGTTCCGATCATCCTGGTCGGCACCAAGCTGGATCTGCGCGACGACAAGGCCACCATCGAGAAGCTGAAGGACAAGAAGCTCACCCCCATCACCTATCCCCAGGGACTGGCGATGGCCAAGGAGATCGCCGCCGTCAAGTATCTGGAGTGCTCGGCCCTGACGCAGAAGGGACTCAAGACCGTGTTCGATGAGGCCATCAGATCGGTATTGTGTCCGGTGGTCCGCAGCCCCCGGAGGCACAAGTGCGTCTTGCTCTAAGGCCGGACCTCTGACCCTCCACCCGAAAAAGCAAGCAAGAAGATCATTCAGCGCTGGAGAACAAAGCGCAAAAATGTCGATTCTGTGCGAAAAAATTCATATTCATTCGCTTTGTTGGACTTACAGTTATGATTAGTGTGTGCGTGTGTGAGTATTTGAGTGTATGAATGTGGGGGTATGAGTGTGAATGAGGGAGCGTATTTTTGTTTTTATTGTCAGCTTTATGTGGGGGAGCAGCTCACAGCAGCAGCAGCAGCACCAGAAACAACAACATCAATCAGAGAGCGCATCCAAAAGGGAGCGGAAAATGGTAGAGGGGGAGCAGAGGTCTCTAGGGGGGGCCAGAACATGCATATATGTATGCGTTATGTGCATATACACTTGAAAAAAAAAACTGTTTAAAACTAATCGGAAATTGATATTAAAATATAGTTATTAAATGACGAATCTGGTTTAACCAAAAGCCTTTTTTTAAAACCATTATCTTAAACATAATAATTACTTTTTTCCGCTCTGTATGCACATATATATTTTGGCCACATGCTAAAGGAACTTGGCCAGGAGAATGTATGACAAATAAAATATAATATAATTAATTGTAAATAAATCTAGACGATGTAGAACCTTCAGCGCCCCCAATACAGTCATAGAGCAGCCCGTACTACCCGAACTAGAACCCTCACCCGATAGCTCTTATCTAGGCGGGGGAGTAAAGGCCATAGCGAAAATAGAGCCCCACCTATGGCCAATATCTGAACAATCTGGGGGGAATTTGTGCGAATGGCCAACAGAAATAAAAATTATTTTCATTTATGATTTATAGAGAGTGTGAGTGAGGGAGGGAGTGTGTGCCTGTCTGATCAATGGTCTTCCCACTCAAATGCATTTGCCTGGTCTTGATTTAATGTATACTAAATGCACAATTAGCCTCTACTTTGGTGTTAATTTATTTACTGATATTTATGTTTACAAAATGCATACACTTTGCCAAATTGTTTTCACTGCAAAAAAAAAAAGGAAATACTTTTATTTATATTAACACATAATTTACCAATAAAGAGTGTAATGTTAATCAACAAAATAAATGTTTGTAAAAAGCTAAAAAAAAAACCCGGGTTTTCAATGAATTATGATCTAACGAAATGCATTTCCTATGGAAATTTATGGTCCTAATGAAAATTATTACTTTATGGTTGGTGGAGTATTGGAGGAAGTGGAGTTTGTATAGTGGGTGGGTGGGGTTTCAGATATTTCAGTGATTTCATAAATCCCATACGGCTTTGCATACTTTTTGGCGAGCCGGGAAAATTCAACACTCGGTCGCAACTTTAATCTTATCTTCTGCCGCATTTGTCACAAAAATTTTGATAATTATTTCCGATTGCCGGACAGACGACCGGAAGCACTGATCCCCTCCCTGCTGCTGCTGCTATTGACTAAGCAATTTGGCAGGCCCAATCATATTTTTATTTCACTATGGTTTATGGTTTCTATCTATACTTCGATTGTCATAATGAGAGCCCAGTTCAGATGATTGATTGGCCAGGAAAATGGTAAGGGGCTTTACAGACAGGTGCACCGAGAGAAAAGGTCATGGCTTATAGCCTGTTCTCATCTAATATTTTATGGTTTCAGTTGCAAGTGTATTTCAGTGGCTCGTTAGCGGACTACACACTCTGGGGATCTGTGTGAATTTGACAAATAATTACATAAGACTACCTGCTGTGCGAATTGTGTTCACCCGCCCACCCACCTACCTCCCCCACGCACAATTCAATGCCATCCGGCCGGACTGATGGATGTGTTGCCTCCCCTTTATGGACCCAGGGATTGTGGTTTTTTTTGGTGGGTTGTCTGTGACGCGACGAATCGCATAATTGACCCACATTTTAAACAAACGCCTCGGCCAGCTATCAAAATAGAGAGAAAGGAACTGAGAGCCGTAAAGTCAACTTAATTAGCATAAACATTCGGCTAGAATCTAGCACTATTCCCCTAGAACATGCACCTTTGGCACTCGGACGTGTTGAAGAAGAGGAGGCAGCCTACGTCGAGTGACGATGCGTTGACAGGCGTGGAATTTAGCAAACATTGTTGCAGTTGCAACTTTCCTGCCACATTATAAGAAAAATTAGGAAAATTTAATAGAATATACAATAATTTTCCAGGAATTTAAAATAAGAAAAATATATTTTCTTTGTTCTTGCGAGGTACTTTGAAGAATAATAAAATTCTTAACATCTCTGAACATTTTATTTTTCAGTTTTCACTTGAATTTCTATTTTATTTTAGGCTTTATAACGTCCAAGCTTCCAACGTAAACTAAACTCTTTCATATCCACTAGATAATACACTCCCTAATACACATCCTAACTCTGTTCGATGCAAATCCATTGACAAGTGTGGCATAATCAGGGCCCCAGGCTCTGTAAATGTAAATGCAAATGGCCAAAATGCTAAATTTATGCACTGCATGCGTGAAATTAAAAGGCTCCCCGGCGGACTGTTCCTCCGCCAAATTCGGACCCTCCAGTCCGTGGCTTCCACATTTGGGGGCACGCACAATTTGGCAACTTTCATGTGGTTAACAATTTGGCTAAATCAATTATACGGACAGCGCACAGCGCGAACTCGAGTATTTTGCGTTTTATTTTGTTCTTCCTAGTTTTTGATTCGAGCAGATTTTCAGCTTAATTGAGAAATTTCCAGGGAAAATGTTGAGGCCATGGGAAAAGCCAAACAATTTAATACGAAAATTGTGCTGAGCTGCACAGCAGCCGAAATAAATTCCTAGCTAGCCACAAATTTCATAGCAAATGCCAATAAAATACGCTCTGACGGAAAAATTCCATGCCACATAAGAAAAAGGTAAATACAGGTGAGTTGCCCTGCCCGGGAGAGGATCGGAAGGGGAAAGGTTAAAAATATTTTCACACTTCCGTTGGGGTTTTTGGGGGAGGTGGGATGGGCCACCTGAACCTGTGCGATGCCTGCCGACAGGATATGACAGGCCATCCACCCGCACCGTTCCGGAATCATCTCAAAATATATTTTCAGAGGCAACTTCCTGTCAGGACATATTGCAAATTATGATGCGAAAACGGGCAGAGGGTTGGATGGAAAACGAATTCAAAATTCCGGATAGAAAAATTCTATAATATATATTTTTATTTTTAAGCTTTCATTTATTATTTTAAGCCATAACTTGGCATTATGAGGTGCATCGGCACTGAATGGCTCGCGTTATATGCCGAATACAAACAAAAGTTTGAGGACACAATTGATATGGATGGCCAGCAGCCAGGACATGGCCAGGACACTGAAGAGAGCCGGCCAGCTTGTGGCGTAGCCAATATCCGTTGCAAGGATAACGCACACACTGGACGACGTGTGTATCTTTCCTTGGTCTTGTTATTGATAATCTTTGTCATGGTCCGATGTGAGCATCGACAGCAGCTAACAAAAAGCAAGGACTCACAGGACAGCAGGATACACAGAAAGTTTTTTAATATTTTTCAGGTTATATAAATATAAATAGAAAATAATTCATAAAAGACGAAATGCAAGAAAGGAGTTTTCTTTTTAAATCAAAAACCCTAACAAGCGTAGTTATATCTTCCATTTTTTCTTGTGTAAAGGCTAGCCACAGGACTCGCACCCTTGCCCAGGACCCAGCCGGCGGAGTAATGAACTGCGGCAGGTCCAGACAGGCGACAGGCCTTGTTTGTCCCGCCGATCGATGTTGGCGTGCGGAATGGAGGCGACTCCCTCAGAGTCGAGTGTATTAAAAACAAAGTCACAATGTGGCGTTGTGGCGATGTGTGTCCTGCATCCTTGCTGGCTGCATCCAATGAACAGGCACGTTGTGCGAAAGTTTTCCACAATTAGGGGGGCGGATGCCCAACTCCTCATAGCCAGCAATAAAAAGTTTAAAGTTGCGTTTAAATATGCATTGCATAATTCAAGAATCTCTCTCCGTGATTCCAGTCAGTGTCGACAGCAACACGTTTCCGCCATTTTGTTGAATGTCTGGCAACTTGTTGCACGCTGCATTTGAATAGAGGGGACCAGGGGTATGAGAGGTATGTGGCAGATAGAGGATGGGTTTTGGGAAATGTTGACATCCCGAACACGTTGAAATTTCCGCCAGACTTGCCAGTTCGATGCTCGGATTGCAGGTGTGCATTTTGCGTTTTCGTTTGCGTTTACGTTTTTGAGTGTGATTGTCTGTGAGGCTTTTCATTTTCAATTAAACACAATTACACGTCCAACTGTCAGCTTTCAGTTAATAATGAAAACTGTGCAAACACATAACCCGAGCCAAAATCGCCGCTGGCCCATGACGAATAGTTGGCCACGATGGGGGCCACTTAGAATCGCCCCAGGTAGAATTTTTTCACAATTTTCTGGCGGCTTCACTCTATTTTTGAATGCCTCCCCCAAGGCGGCTGTAACACAGTTCAAAGATTCTCCCCCCATATGCTGTTTTCCTATTTATGTTTGGCTCTTTAAAAATATATAAACACAATACACGCCAGTCACCGTCTGTATTTACATTTGCATTAAATAAATGTTGGCCCAAAAGATTGTATTTTTTCGCAGCCAAAATCGAATCAAATGAAATCTAATGAATTTACTTTTTTAATATGATTTCCCCACCATAAATATATCTATTTTCTAGAGCAGGCCTCTACGGAAAATTATTCACTTTCGGTGTAGATTGACATTAATTGTTGAAATTGAGGCGGATACGCCTGCTCGGCGGACGGAATTCTTATAAATTTTATATCGATCAGAGAGAATTCCACTTGGAAATTATGTTTCCAATGACCTGGGAGGTACATCACTTTGGGGAAACGGATATTACGTTGAAGGGTTGAGGTAATTAGTTGAGGAAACTGAGAAGATTTGCAACAAATCAGGGGAAGCTTTTACTTAACACTTCAACCGCCTAGCTCTTAAAATATTCAAAAATCTTGCTTTTGACATAAATTTCAGAGACTTTCCCCTACTCTAGTCCTAACTGATGTCTCTGAGGACACTTTATCAAGGCTCGCAAGGCTCAAACAATTGCGGCAAATGGAGCTCAGCGACTAAGTGGTTTTATTTTAAATCTTTCACGTTTCACGAGCAGAAAAGGAAAACTGGAATGGTAGCGTAAAATCCTGCTGCCTTATGACAACAAGTTGCCTTCCTTTTTTTTGTGAAAAAAACAACTCCACAGTCGCGACAAGTTGTAAGCGGAATAATTTGTTTTTTCTGTTTTTCAGATTTATTCTTTTTTTTTTTTTTGAAACTCAATTGTTTGGTAAATGTCAGTCTTCATTTGTCAGCTACATTCCAAGTTGGCTTAAGTGGCTTCGTTGTCAGCCGGAGGAGTTTATTGCTTGCCAGGATATAGATACAGATTTTGAACCAAACCGATGTGCATCATGGGAACCTTTAATGCCTGCCCTCCACCATTTCTTTTCTTGTAATATCCACTCTTGATGGACGTTTTAAATTGCAATTGAAATTGAAAAAGTGCCAGCCTGGCACGCCACGTTCCAGCCATGTCGATTGTTCTTGGGTGCGGCTAATACGAATCCTATAAATATTTATTATTCCTTTTCAAGGACTAATTCTGATTAATTTATCAATCGATTTGCCGACGAGCCTTGACACGAAACGTCAGAGTCTGGATTTATGGCCCAACATTACGAGCTGCCTTGCTAATTATTTCGCTGAGTTTCGCCTTGAGTGAGTGACTCCCTCAGATATACCATCCTTCCCCCTATTGTCTTGGCAGTGACTCAAGCTGGAATCAATAAAATCCCGTGGCACATGAAACCAAACACGTAAACCCAAAAAACAAAAGCCTGCCAAGGTGCATGGCATCTGAAAGCAAAAGCCAAAAAGCGGCTGAAAGTGAATTTCACGCCATTGGCCAAAACGATTTTCCGGCAGGAAGGCATCAATCGGATTGGAAAATACTTTGTTCTGCCAACTTATTTATGACCCCCATGGCGTATGCGTAATATTTTAGTGGTTTATTGCCTGACAAGGTCTGTTCTTATAGGTATTTCTTGAAATCAAAGCTTTTAATTGCATTTATGACTAGTTAGTTAATAGCTATAACTTCAATTAAAGTTAAAGTTTTCTATTGAGGAGGTAGCTTAGTATTTATTTAAAATTTCTATTCGCTTTAGATATAAAACCTACAGACTGCAGCTGTTACTGCCGATTGTCCCACAAAGGAATGCTAATCAAATGGGAAGCCGGAGCAATGAAATTATCGACCTGCTGGGTTAAACGATTCGAATTCAGATTCTGCACCATTCTGGGGGGTTTCGTTTCCGTGTTCGTGCCACCTAAGCTCTAATTGAACTCTTTTACTTTCAGCTCTAATTGAACCCGCTTACTTTCAGCCCGTTTCCTCGTTTCAGCCAAGTGGAGCATGCAAATTCCGTCCCACTCCAGACCACTCCAAATCCTCGATGCAATCCTCCCACCAAACAGACGACCTTGCCGGGTATGTGGTGGTTGGATGGCCATCTTGGTTGGCTCACACCTCAATTGGCAATTCGGTGTTACATTAACCCACAATGCACAGCTCATAAATTAGGAGGCATCTCAACGCCCCGACTGCGGATTGCAGTTGCAGATGCAGAACCCCGAGACAGATGGCTTTAATATGCTCGGAATTTTCCGCTGCCCCTCAATAAACACAGAATTTGATTCGAAATTCGGAATGTTTTGCGGTTCTTGGCTGTTTAGATGAAAAGTTAATACCTTTGATGCGTCAGCTTCGAAAATTGCCAAAGAATCAGAAAGTGGGGAAATTTTTAACAATAAATTGAAAATGATAGAACTCAGGTTGTACAAATAATTAAAAAAGGATTAAGACACAATTAAACTATTATTTTCATGACACTATATTTTTAAAAACTTGGAAACCAAAACAAACCCTTTATTTCCAGTGTAATTTCTAAGAAAACCTGAACCTTGGTGTCGATGACAAAGTTGTTGAAATTTTTATAATATTTTTACAATTTTGGCGGGGCTTACTCGTTGAAATTCAAGGAGCATACGGTGGTACTAAACTAAGTGGTACTACTCCCATAAATTAGGATCACGTAAATAAACACCAATCGAGATGAATCAGTTCGGCACATGTGACTTGTGAGGCAATCGAAAGTTGGAGCAATTAAAATGCTATAAAGTTTTTCACACACCGATCGCCGATCGCCGGAACATAAACTAATCGTATGCTGCAATAGATATTCATCTGGAGGATAATAAACTACAGAGACTGTATATTTTGTTGAGCCATCGTCACCTGCAACGGGCCAAGGACACCCCATTAGCCAAGTTACTAAATCTATCAATTTATTTATAATATGAGGCAAGCAAATGTGTGAAAATGTCCATGGATTTGCCATAAAAATAATATAGCCTACTATAAGGCGTTCAGAGCCACATTTAGCTGATTTTTCCCTTGGATCCTAACTATTCTAAGTGCTGGTAATAACCAAAAAAATCTAATAGCCATAAATGTTGGGATTTGAGGCCCAAAAACAGGCCATAAAAGTTTCACTGCCTCTTACCATATTTTCGGTTCTGGCCGTGTGTCGAACAACATGTTAACATGTTGACTATTGCATTGAGAATTTCGTTGGCGGGTGTGCCCGTAAATCAGGCAATCGACTATGAACCGCAACCAAACATTAACCCCCTGGATAGCCCGGGATATGCCAGGACCTCCCATCCGTTTGCCCACAGAATCGGGTCGTTTTGCGGTTTGTCGGCCCGTAATATGATTTCACTTGCGGTTTGCATTTGTTTTGATTACCGAATCCGATTTGTGGCTTACCAGGCCATAATCATTTCAAAAAAAGGCTTGGCTTTAGTTTTTGGTTGGTTTTTTTTTTTAATTTAGAAAATTATTAGATTTTAAAGAGTTTTGAATCGCGAGGACTAAACCATCTAGTTCTCTTCAAAGATTTCACAATTTTTAGATAAACTTTTAAATATCTGTTTTTGAAAGTAACCCCTTAAGTCTATTCTCAATTTTGCTCATTTATCTCTCCACTTAGCCGGTCTGCTATTATTATGCTTTTATTTATATTTCAGCGCGAAATTCGTTCTTGCCTCCGAAATTCTTGCACAATTTTGTTGTCTTTTTTTTGTGTTTTAGTCGTTTTTGTGTCATCAAACATGTTGCGTGTCTTGCCGCCGTGTGCAATTTAACCGACGACAGGGCCAAAAGGGGGGTTTCGACTGCAAAACTTTTCGCCACGTAAATGATTTGTTTTGTCAATTATTTTGTTAGCCAACATGCAACACAGGGGAGTCGAAAGTTTCAGGCTCAGTCACAGCTGATAACATCAAAACAAATATACCCCCCTGGCGAGGAATATATCCCACCCGATTTTTAATTGAGAGGCGTGGTCGGGCCAATTGCATTAAGATCCGAGAATCTAGATAAAATAAACAAACAGATCGGGACCCCAGAGTTGACTGAAGGAAGTGGAAAATCATTTCATTAACTGCTGGATTGGGCCATCTGTATGGAGGAGATTGAATCCACTTGCATAAATATTTATGGCACTCTTTGGGCAGCTGATTATTTATCGGCATAGCCATAGTAGGCCTGTCGGAGGCAAATTAAAAAATAAAACACATGTGCAACACTCCGGGTCTTGTGTTGTCGTTGTCATGCTCTCGATTTTTAAATTAAAATTAATGCACATTTGTTTTGTGTGCGGTTAAATGAAAAAAAAAAAATTAAAAAGAAACTCTATAGAAAAAAATTGAAAAGCAGAGTTGTCCGGACAGAGAAACAGAGAAAAATCTGTATCTGAACAATTGAGTGATGGATGGATTGGCAATGGCCTCTTGCCGCCTCACTCCCATTTGGAATATGTTTCGCTGGTATTTTTTGGGTTTTTTGTGTTTTTATGCCTCATCTTAATTAACATGCGCGACGTTTTCGGTTCTTTTCTGGCTCTGACATATTTTTAGGCTCTGACGTTAGAGAGTTCTTGTATAATTACCTTGGACACAACTGGAATTCAGTGTTGCACTTTCAAACTCTCACTGATTCACTTGAAATCTTTTAATTTGAAATTTAATTGTTTTTTTTATACGCTAATGACTGCAGCTAATGATGAACAATTTCCCAATTCATTGCACTAAATTTGTGGCACTAATTGCACTTAGCCGAAATCGCGATAACTCAAAATAACACACACGCGCCCGCCACTCGACGTGATATTCAAAATATTGAAATACTTTTCAGTTTCCTAGAACTTTTTTTTGAACGGAAAATCTTAAAGAGCGTTTATGACCGTTTCAGCGTGTGGGCCGTTGCCAACTGAATCGGCTAACGGATCGGAAAAATAAAGCAAGCCGCCACGAGGTGAGGCGGCCAAGGCTCGTGTATCTTTCGGATAGCTGTTCGTCGCAGTTCGTGTATCTTTCGGATCGCCTCGTGCGGAAAAGCCGGCAAAACAAAATGTAAATAACAGAGCGGACGGGGTGGCGGGGTAACAGCCGGCTTTTGGTCTCGATGTTGAGCTTTGCAGATTTTACGCCTTACGATGGGAGCGTCCGCCACCCCCATCCACCCATAAACTCCCAGCTCCCATCCCCAGTGTTTGCGTTGCGGCTTTTTGGGGTTGTTAGAGAGTGTAGTGGTGTGTGTGTGTATGTCTGTAGGTGTGTGTGTATTTAGACACTTCGGCTTGGCCTGCAATTGGCGGGAAACTTTTGTGGATGCCATTTGTGTCAGGTCCTTGAAGTTGGCAACATTTTAATTTAGTCCTTTTAATAAAAATCAATTATATGTAAAAACATTGATAAAAATTGTATTTAATTTTTTATGTATAATAATTTAATTTCTGAATTATTTTATAATTATATTTATTTAATTAAAAACTTAAAATATTTTACTTTTAAAGGCCTTCCACTTTAGCAACATGTTGCTGGTGCAATAATGTTGCTAAGCCACATTGCTCATGCGCCCTGTTGTCCCATTCGTTGGGTTCTTGCTTTTTGTTTTCTTTCTTTTTGTTCGCCTGCCCCACCCCCTTGCCGGCCCCTCTCTTGGCCCTCACTTGTCCATCTAGCCAACACCATTGCCTATCCCAACCAACACGAAACGCTGCCAAAGTGACAACCTTTCAGTTTTATCGCTTCTACATAGCCATGTGATGTGTGTGTAACAGAGTGTATGTGTTCCTATGTGTGTGTGTGTATATCCCGATATTTGCAAGAGTATGTGTATAAATAATGTAACAGTAAATTAGCGTGTTTGACACACTGTGGGCGTGGCCAACGGTGCGTGCGTGAGCATTCTCAATCAAGTTAATATTTGTAATTGGAAGATAAAGTACATGATTTTCGCTAGAGATTCTCAAACATAAAAATGTATTATTTTAAATAAAAAATTTAAAAATCAATTTATATATGCCGAATTCTTTGTTAGGATTCTATAGAATTTCTACACCAATTATCTTAATAAGAACTGAAAAACGTGCTTATTAAACGTTAATATGACACGTTTTCATCGCCTAAATTATGATTAATAATGATCCGTTTTATTAAAGCATAAACATAATTATTTGATTCAATTAAAGGTGATTATATAGCCATTCCGTTGATGGAATCAGATTATTTAAGCATTTTTTTTGCTCATAAAATCAAGAGGAAATTATTTTTATATTACCGTCCCTGGCCAATTACAAGTTACAACAACAATGAGCATCCGGCGATGTTTTTCACTAAAAATATACTCGGCCAAAAACAAAAAATTGGCCATTGGGCAAAACCAAAAAAATAAAACCACCGACAAGATTCAAGTTAAAATTTTTGAATTATTTGAAACGACCAGGGAATACTTATTATTTTTTAAAAACTGGATTAAGGTTTGAAAAAATATATAAATTAATATATAATAAATATGTATTATTATAAATATTTTGTAAGTTTTATATAAGGCACATTTTGGCCTAAAACTACCTTACTTTATTATTAAATCTCATAGTCCAAAACCAACAAAAAAAAGCATCAAAAAAATAAACCAGCCAACAAAGCGAATTGTGCACTAGAACAATAATTAGAAATCAAGGGGGTCGGAAAAACAACATCACAGCTCCCAGACTTCCACTTCTATATATACAAAGATATGCATATATACATATAATGCTATGGTTCGAGGAATATCGACTTGGCCAAAACGTAAATAAAAGCTCTCTTTTTTTTAATCTTCTTGAGAGTCGCCAGCAGGCGCCACCAAAGGGCACACGATGAGATGACGCGATCGCCTCCAACTTGATCCCTGATCACAGACTTTTCACACCTGTACAAATCAGTTGTTGTCTTTGTTGTTGTTGCTGTTGCTGCTTCAGGCAGGCCAAAACATTTTTTTGGTTCATTGCCAAACAGTTAGAGCGAGAAACCGACTGACTGTGCAGAAATAGAGGCAGACAGTGCGTAATGGAATTAGGGAATATAATCGAAACATTGGCTATTTCAAACCATTTCCTTAATTATTTGTTAAAATATTTAGCCATGTTTGTTTTCTTCACTTCCGCATAAGAAATACAATTTTTGAATTAAAAATAATAAATTAAGTCTGTTGGATTATTCACAAACAAGTTTTTATTTCGTTAGCTAAAGCTTTGAAAAACTTTTCCTTTTCTTTTATTATAAGGGTTTACTAAAATAGTCTTCAATCGAAATGTACTTGTATATTATTCTTATGAAACGTAGTGTACTTAGACCTATGCCTTTCTTGATTGCCTTAAGGCGTGCGAGCCAATAATTTTTTATGCACATTCTCAAGAATTTATTTAGTTGTCTTGATTCTATTTATTTTTTTGTTTTGTCTATGCTGGCCCAGTTGTTGTTGTTTATTGTTGATCTAGGTTGCCGGCGCACTATGGGCGATTAGTTGATTTTGGCGGCATAAAGTCCACACATAGAGCTAGGAGCTTAATTTTTTTTTTAAGGTTACTAATATTTTAGTTTGTTTTCGAATTTTTTTTTTTATTTAATTTGACCATGCCTTTATTTTCCGCCCCTTTATAGCCCCGGCACTTGTACAAAAATTTAAATTTTTATTATAAAGCAAAGCATAAAAATAGAAAAAATAATATTTTACCATGTTTTAACAATATTCTAAACCTAAAAAAACAAAAAGTTAATAATCTTCTTCATCTAAAACAAAAGAATTCTCATGTTTGTCATCGCTTTCGTTGTCTGATTCGGTGTCTTCATCATTAAAAAAATTGTATGAACTCAGCTCTGATGTTGGATGTTCAAGTGCATTTTTCTTTTAAAGGAACAAAAAAGAGCAAAAAACATGATTACTACAATAAACTAGACACTTTCGTTAGTAACTTGCCATTTTTAGTTGGATGTTTTGATATGCACTTTTCAAGAAATACTCCACGGAACACAATTAAAATTGTTAGATTTTTGCTAAAAATACAATCAACAATAACACTGGAAATTAAAAACACCACGAACATTTATACACATTTATCGTAAATAAAAGATTCTAAATACGTTGAGCTTTGCTATCCATATTACACTTATTAATTTAAACGAAGCCAATAATAATTTAGGTACTTTCAACAGCATGAAATTTTTTGTGCCAATTTATATAATTCGAGCATCAACAGATCATCTGGTTTTGAAGGGCTGCCACAAAAAGAGAGTTGCTACCCGATAAAAAAAAAAAATTGTTTTTCAGCTAACTGAATTGTTTACTATTAATAAAAAAAAACATTTCCTTAATATTTCACCATAAATTTTATGACTTTATGCCGCCCATTATGAAAAATCGCCCATAGTGCGGCGTTAAACACAGTGTATTTCCTCAAATCAGACAGCCAAGTATGCCAGAAATTAACAACAGCCATTATGTTTCAAAAAAACACACTTTGGTTTTCACAATAAAACCAAAAATAATAAAAAAAAATCAAAGAAGTAACAAGATTTTTTAAAGTATCCAACAAAATGAAACCCCCTACTGCAATCAACAAATAATAACAAGAAAAGAAAGCCAATATTTTAATACCCTTTCCCTTTTTTTTTTTATTTGGTCTCAAGATTTTGATGCAGATTGGTGGCAAATTGATCTAGAAATCGTTTAAGGTACTCCGCTTGAGAATCGGATGAGAATTGGGGAAGATATAGACATCACTGTGGGCCATATAGGGGAAAACCCCATTTTCAAGGGATCCCTCACAAAAAATGGACAAAAAAACTAAAAAATATTTTGTCTTAGGATTTTGATGCAGATTGGTGGCAAATCGATCTAGAAATCGTTTAAGGTACTCCGCTTGAGAATCGGATGAGAATTGGGGAAGATATAGACACCTCTGTGGGCCCTATAGATGAAAACCCCATTTTCAAGGAATCCACGAAAAATGGACAAAAAAACTAAAAAATATTTTGTCTCAAGATTTTGATGCAGAATGGTGGCAAATCGATTCAGAAATCGTTTAAGGTGCTCCGCTTGAGAATCGGATGAGAATTGGGAAAGATATAGCCATCACTGTGGGCCCTATAGGGGAAAACCCCATTTTCAAGGGATCCCTCACGAAAAATGGACAAAAAATGTAAAAAATATTTTGTCTCAAGATTTTGATGCAGAATGGTGGCAAATCGATTCAGAAATCGTTTAAGGTGCTCCGCTTGAGAATCGGATGAGAATTGGGAAAGATATAGCCATCACTGTGGGCCCTATAGGGGAAAACCCCATTTTCAAGGGATCCCTCACGAAAAATGGACATAAAATGTAAAAAATATTTTGTCTCAAGATTTTGATGCAGAATGGTGGCAAATCGATTCAGAAATCGTTTAAGGTGCTCCGCTTGAGAAGCGGATGAGAATTGGGAAAGATATAGCCATCACTGTGGGCCCTATAGGGGAAAACCCCATTTTCAAGGGATCCCTCACGAAAAATGGACAAAAAATTTAAAAAATATTTTGTCTCAAGATTTTGATGCAGAATGGTGGCAAATCGATTCAGAAATCGTTTAAGGTGCTCCGCTTGAGAATCGGATGAGAATTGGGAAAGATATAGCCATCACTGTGGGCCCTATAGGGGAAAACCCCATTTTCAAGGGATCCCTCACGAAAAATGGACAAAAAAACTAAAAAAATATTTTGTCTCAAGATTTTGATGCAGAATGGTGGCAAATCGATCCAGAAATCGTTTAAGGTACTCCGCTTGAGAATCGGATGAGAATTGGGAAAGATATAGCCATCACTGTGGGCCCTATAGGGGAAAACCCCATTTTCAAGGGATCCCTCACGAAAAATGGACAAAAAATCTAAAAAATATTTTGTCT